AAAAACAAAAACAAAAACAGCTAACTACAATAGTTTTCTCATTTAAGAAATTTTTTTTTATAACTAACATAAACAAGTAAATATAAAAGGCAACAGCCCTCATCTTGGTTTCTGGTGCTAGCCTCATATAAAAATAAATCAACCAGCCTTTGATAAGCTAAAAGATCATTATCACACTGGCTGCTTTTGATTCACAGAACATTTTCTATTATTCCTTTTAGGTTGGGTTAACTGGGAACTCATGTTTTTCTTTCAAAATCTCATCCATCTTTCTGTGTTTCCTTTGCATGGTTCTATCTTCTCCGTCCACTTTGCTTGGTTTCTGTATGAGCACAGGTAACCTTTTTTTGTCCACATTACCCTGGCTATTTGTACAATGCTAGCTATCCTTCATTGTCTACTTTGCGTAGTTTTTGCACCATCTCTGCTATCCTTCTCTGTTCGTTTTGCTTGGTATTTATACAATCCCAGCTATCCTTCTACATCCACTTTGCTTGTTTCTGTACAATCGCAGGTATCCTTTTTCTGTCCACTTTACATGGCTTTTTGTACAATCCTAGCTATCCTTCACTGTACAGTTTGCTTGGTTTTTGTACAGGCCTAGCCATCCTTTTCTGTTCACTTTGCTTGGTTTTGTACAATCTTAGCCATCCTTTTCTGAACACTTGGATTTTCTTTCTGACAACTTCTACTAACCTTCTCTGTCCACTAGTGGAAGAACACGGTTACCGATCATCATTCTACTTGTCATCAAATGTTGAGGGTAGGTAATCTTTAAACGTAATTGCAATTTCCAATCATTAAGTGCATACATATAGATTAATACATAATAAGCATTATGTAAACAGTCAATTTGAACAGTTTTCCAGAATAAATGTTAGCTTTAGTGCAATAATAAACATTTCTATGCCAAATTTAAACATTCTTTTAACAAGGAGCGATGTATGAAAGTATGTGTCTTACAATGTATACAATGAGTGTCTTCTGGGAATGATCAGCACTTAGTCTAAACTGTGCAAATCTGCAGGCTGAGACAGAGTATCTATGGATTTTCCAGAACTTATAATATTGATTCTTCACAAAACATACAACCTAATATAATTCTATGTCTATAATACAATATAATACTGTGACAATTAAAATTCCTATTATTTAACCCATACTTTGAAGAAAAAAGCCTTTTTTTAATACATAAGAAAATATGTCAATTCCGACAAAAGTTTGAAAGCATTCAACTTGAAATTTACAATATTTAAAATTAAAGCTTCATGTGAAAAATTATTTGAGCTTCATGCAGTAATGCACATTTGTAAAGAAAAATGCATAAAAGTTCTGGTGGGAAACACAACTTGCACAACAGTTCAGCGATGGTGCAGATGTGTGCATAAAATGCAGAGTTCAGCTGTGAACTTGCTGTCCTGTAGAATAGACAAAGGAGATGTGTTGTTACAGCAAGTTCACAGCATAAACACTGTTTTCTGCACACATGGCAAGCACAGTTAAACCTAGGACTGTCTCATGAAGCCATTGAAAAAATATCAACCCATTTTGAAAATTGTAATAATTATGTCACAAAAAGTATATCGCAAAGACCAACTCATTTTTCATTGAAAAACAAAGACTGAAATGATTTTGGCCATTTAATGAGAATGAATACAATGATCCTAGGAGAGAGAGCATACAACATGAAAGCAGAAACACCAAAAAATAGACAACGACCAAGAAAAAGAAAAAAAGACAGATTGAAGGAGTCACTAATACCGTGAGACAACACTAAAACTAAAACATTACAGCATACTTGAAGATGAGTAACATATTTATGATTTAGTATGTACAAATTTATTTAAGAAAAAAAGTTATGAATCCATTACTAAACAAAGAACAACAAAAAAACTGCAAATACTAATACTTAAAACACCATTAATTAAATCTGGTCATGAAATAATTTTTCTTGTTTTTTCAAAGAGAATAAAAATAACTTGATTGTTGCACAGTGTCAAGATATAGAAAAAAAGTAACTTTATTTTGTTAAAATCAGTGCCAAGAGATGTGTATTCAAATAAACATTCCATAGTGTTTAGTTCAAGGGAGGCAGGGACAAAGAAGCGAACGCGGAAGACAGAAGGAGTTAACACAAAAGATCAAAACTTTTACCGAAATATCACCACATGCATTTAAAAAAAAATTGTGATTACAATTTCATGAAAATAACTTAGTTCGACAATAACCTTAAATTTGTTCATGATTTATCATAGCTGATAGTAATTATAACAGAAGTACTAATGAGGATCATTTACATCCATTGCATTTGCAATGTGTTTTTAAAATGTATTATAAGATTAATAAAACAATTGCAAGGAGTTCTGGTGGAACAGGGAGAGGAACGATGTGTCCACAGTCAAGGAAGAGAGTCATTAAAAGAGAGAAAGAGAGACAAATTGTATACTTTGACCACATTAAAATTTCCTTTTAAAACAAATACTGGTGAGAAAACCTGAAGACAGGTAAAACAAGAGGAAAACACTGACACATATGGAAAGGTGACACCAAGAAATGAACAAACTGCAGTCTGTAAGAGTGTACAACTAGGGCAGGAAGTGTGTTGGATATTTACTGTAGTCAGCTCTCATTACGAAGATGGCACCTGACTGACTAAAATGTTTAACTGCTTGAATGGCATGTTACATACTGTAACAAGAACTCAGAGAAATGGAACACAACAGGAGTCTTCTGATGATTAGAAGTCTCCTTTCATGAAGTGTTTCGCCACTGCTCTAATTTAACTCAAGACAAAGAAAAGAATCCGTTACTTGCTTTTTACATTTGCTGCTAGTGTTTGCAGAATAAATATGTAACAACTGACACCAAGAAAGCGCTAATCAGTGCAATATTTATACCAACATTGTGTACCAGTGCCAAACAAGGGCAGTAGGAGCAACAGAAAGAACTGAAATAATGAAAATGAAATATCCACGATGAATCCTTAATGTAACTAGAAAATACAGATCAGAAATGATAATATCAGGAAAGAGGTTGGATCAGAATCAGTACTAACTATATAAGTAGACAAATGGTTTGGACATGTGTTAAGACTACCACCAGATAAACACAGAGAGCCCTGTCACTTAAATATAATGAAAACAAATCTAGAGGTTGGCCAAGCAAATGATGGATAGATGGAATATCTGAGGCCAGAAATATCAGCATCTATGTAGCAGAGGGAGACCTAGAAAATTAGTTGATGCCCTTGATGCTTCTTCAAAAACTGCTGCTGAAAGGCAGAACAGGACTAGAGGAGGAGGGGGAGAGGAGGAGGAGAAGGAGGAAAAGAAGGAGAAACTGAAAAATAAGCAAGCAGGCTTTCATAAATGTCTAATCTCATTATTTTAAAATGTCTTCTTACTTATGGAAATGTTTCAGTGCTGAATCTACAAAAATAAAGAAAATTTCCTTTAATTAAAATACTTAGAACAAATATTCTCAAAATATAATATAATGAGTAAAAGCGTTTTTGCAATGAAATTCTTAACCATCGACTCACACTAATTATCTACAATCAATTCATTGCACTCAATTATAATAGTCTATTCACATCTGAAACTTTTGATATAACAACTAACAAGTTACATTGTTTCCTCAGAAAAAAATTATGTGTTTCATCTTTATCATGAATTGTTGTTGTTTGCATTCCCCGACTTAAACCCCAGAAGAAAGTCTTGTTTGTTTGCCCATTTCTGCACTATTGCTTTGTTGAAGGACCTGATCAGGTATTGTAAAAGTGTAAATAATAATCATAATAAAAATGTTAGTAATATTAATACAGTAATACACACATATAAGATTAAAATAATGCAAGTTACACACTTTTTACTAGGCAAATGCTTAAAAATAAATTTCAGTAAAGATTTCTGAATGAAGAGCAAAACAGACATTCAATCAGACTAATTCTGGTTCCATTGAAACTGGAACTCTGCGCTTGCTGCTGAAGATGAGGATAGAGTGCTTATGGGAATGTCTTATATTCTATGATGTCCCTTCTTAAATTATATTTCATAACTCAGTGTATCTGAATGTTTCTATACAGAAAATATTAGGCAGTCTTGTTTAGTTTGGTCAGCGAATTATAGCTGATTTTCTAATGCATCCAGGGACAATTTTGATTACTTTTTATGAACCCATTATTTCATAAACAGACTTCATATTCATTTTTTTTTCAAACTGGCTGCGTATCCTTTACAGGATGTCATAAACTAACCCTTGAAATTGTCAACTGTTTTGCATTCAGCAGTTTGTCATCACATTCAGTACACTGAATAACAACCGTTAAATTTAGGAATGGCACTTAATGGATAAAATGCAAAGTGAAGTGTGACTACAAAGCTTAACAAAATTGGAAAGCAGAAAAAACGTGCACACAACAACACAAAACAATGTTTCAAGAAAGGCCACTGGCCGAAACATTGTTTTGTGCATGTTTTTCTGCTTCCCCGTTTTGTTAAGCTTTTTAGTCATATTTCACTGGAATTCCTTGGTATTAGCTTGACTGCAGTCACCCCCATATTTTCAACACTTTTTTGATAAAATGCAGAAAATAAAATTAAGCTGGGGGGGGGGGGGGGGGGGGGGGGGGGGGGGGGGGTTATGCTGTCCTTTCAGCATCTATATACAGAAAAATAATATTTAAACTGCAAAAAAAAATACCAAAACAGTTTGGCGATATCATTTAACAACTGTTTATATAACTAAAAGACATATGTGTCCACAAAAAGTCTGAGTGTTAAAACCATAAATGAACTGGAAATCTATTTTGCTACACAAGGCTAGAAACACAGCTTGGGAGCCACTGATTTTATAAAATGCAAATACAGATCTGAATATGGTTCTAATATCTGACACCATCTAACAATAGGAGAAAGAAAGAAAAACAGAACAAAATGAAAGCAGGTTAAGCAAGAATACAGCAACACTGATGGAATAAACAGTAAACAGATGCTACTTACACGACTGAGACTGTGGACTTGGTGTCACATAGTTTGAAGGAAATGCACCTGTCTGGCCATCTAACTGGCCAATCCACCAATCAGAATTATCCCGACTCAGCACTGTGATCACAGCATCCTTCTGGAATGTTAGTTCATCGTCGTTCTGGGCAGCGTACGCATAAAGTGCCACCACAGTTTCCACTGCCACAAACAAACACAAAACAATATTGTTATGTCTTATAAATATCAAAGAACAAATTATGTTCGCTAAAAACTACAATTAAATGTAACAAAATTTTAAAAAAAAATTTTTTTTTTCAAATTAATCAAACATTTACTATAAACTCATCATCATCAGGTAGACCGGCACGTGTAATCATGCCTCTCCATAATTTGCAATCTTCAACAACAAGTATTTGTATGTTGACACCTCTTCATGACATGACAAAGGGCTGTCAAGAATCATCTTGCATTGACTTCCTTTATCTCTTTGGTACTACTCACAAAAGTCACCCTATCTCATTGGCCACGAAATTTTGTAGCAGTTGCCAGGAGTTGTCCTATGTTCTAGTGGTGTTATGAGATGTCTTCCTTTGCCTTCTATACACAGCATGCCAAAAACTGGCTCTGGTTCGTTTGATGCGGTTGACACACTGTCTCTCAGATGAAAGTGTGCAGCTTTCTTTGCGCAACTCTCTTTTCTATGAACAACTGTTGTTTCTGGAATGTGCTGCTGTTGTGAGTGGGTCTCGGGTACCGAAGGCGCCTGTGTGCATGTAAGGAGTGCCTGGTGGTGAATGTGCTTAAAACATTCAAAATGAGAAACATATGACACCCCTAGACTATAGGAGTGTCCTGGGAAATCCCCTACAAAATCTTGCAGCTGACAAGATGGGGTGACTTTTGTGAGTTGCACCATCTCTTTTCCACAGATCTTTCTAGCAGTCACAACATGTTCCAGTTCTCACAAATTAAGCAAAAAAATGATGACTGTCTCTTTTTGATGTGTGCCTATGAGCCCTCACTTCCTTCAAAACATCTGGGTTGTTGTTTTTTTTTGGCTGCCCAAGGAATTCCAAGAATTCTTCTGTAAAACCTCATCTCGAAAGCCTCAAGAAATTGTTTGGTTTATTTCTTAAGTTTCCAGATTCAAAGCCGCATGTTAAAACTGGCTCTATTTTGCAAATGAGAATTATATTCTCACCTCCAATGACATGACTTAATTAATGTATAAAATGTTCGCCATTTTATAAAAATTCATTTTCAGAATGCCATATACTGTTCTTTATCTCTGTGATAATCTTCGATATTATCCATGTGCCTAGATATTTACATTTCTGTTCTTGTCCTAGAATAATGCCTTTGAATTTCACTACCCATTTAGGTGTTTTTCTTTTCTTTGATATTACCATTACTTCTGTCTTCCCATTATTCAAGCTAAGGCCTATTTTATTACTTTCTATCATCACTGTATCTGTCAATCCCTTTAGTTCTTTTGGATTTGACACTATTGAGATGGTGTTATCAGCACAACTTAGGTTATTTGTGTTATGACCACCAACCACAATTCCTGGCATACCCATGACAAATCTCATTATATATTCACTGTATAAACATAATATATAAGGTGATAGCAATAAAGACCAAACTGTGTGCTTTGAATCCATGAATCAATTAATCCTGTGCCGCTTAAACAATTAAGATTAGGTGCAATGGATCACCAACATACTCTTGTCTTTCCCTCTGCATGTACACTCTCTCAGGCTGCTGTTTGTTCATCTCTTGATCTTTCCTCCCATCTGAATTACTGTCAACCACTGGCTCGCTTGTCTTCACCTTTCCACATTCAGTATGGTTTTTAAAAGAGCATTTATGTCTTTTAATATGGTTGAAAAATTTCCCCGCCTATGTTTTAAAAACTTTCCTATGTGTGCTTTGAAAATTATCATGAAATAAAAGGGAGGATAGGGTGGGGGTTGGCGGGGGTGGGGGGGGGGGTGGCAACAGAAAAGTGGCTATACACTTGCCTGTCCACAGATCCAGTACCAGGAAATGTCCTGGGAAATAAAGGCATGATGCTGACATCATCCCCCACCAAGTGTCAATGGATAAATTAAATTTGGGTCTAGCATCATATGACCAATGTACCAATAGTGTGAAATGGATCCATTTGTTTACTATGATATACTTGAGTTGACCAGTTGTTTTTTTCCTGAGCATATCCCATTCTCTTCTCAAACAAAGAAACAATTTTGGAAAATATCTCAAGTACTCTTTTCACAAAACCAGTTTCAAACCCAGGTTTTTATTTATAAGGAACCTGAATATGCAACCACGATTTCTTCTTTTCTTCTTTACTCTGCGCTCCTGGAATGCCTCACAGTATCAGGGCAGAAAGAGATCTCTGAAAGGGACCTCTGAGATTTTTTCACTTTTCTAGACTATCACATTAAGACAAAACTTCCACTCCAGGATATCAAAAACTGACTCCAGTAAGATGTTGGCCAACTCTAAACGTGAATGAATAAATAACAGGGAACTTACACTGATTAATGCCAGTGAAACCATCCTGACTAGCAACACTCTGGGGTGTGGCTGACCGACTGCCCTGTGTTGCCACCTAAAACATCATCAAAGCACTTGTTAACAATGCTTTAAAAGCAGTCAGTTGATAAAACAATAAGTCCTTCAAGAACTTAAATGTAAAAGTGTCACTCTTAGGTCATATTTATTGCTGGCTGACAACACATGCTCTGTGATTGATCCATTATTGATGGACAACACATGCTCTATGACTGATCCATTATTGATGCAGAAGAAGATGAAAATGGAAATCATAATCTAATCGGTAACACACAAAATAAGAAAATGGTAACAAAATATGTGAATGGAAGACCTATCATATTCATGTCATAGAAAATGTACCAACCTAATAAACTATACATTAGCAATTCATAGAGAACTTGACAGACCAAATTTTTACTGTACTATGGATAACGATGAAAAGAATTGTGATATTTTACAGCATCTAAAATCTAAGAAAAATGGCCAACAAACAGTATAATGCACTTTCAGACTAAAATTTTGCCACATTAAACATCAGAGTGTCTCACGTTTTGTGAAAGACTAAAATTTAGCCACATTAAACATCAGAGTATCTTTACATCCAATGGTAAAATAGACAGAGAGATCGAAGCAAGAATCCAACAAGCCAACAATGTCGCATACCAGCTTGCCCCAATTTTAAAACACCCTGCTGTCCCAGCTGAGATAAAAAGACAAATTATAAATACAATCTTTATACCGACATTAGGTTATCAATGTCAGACTTGGACATTAACAAAAGAACACGAGAGAAGACTAACCACCTGTGAAATGAGATGTTTGAGAATGGCTGCGAATAAAACCAGAAGAGATCGAGTGAGAAACGATGTGATTACAAGAACTATTGGAACCATACCCATCGTTAAATTTATTGAGAAGCAAAGAATGAAATGGTTTGGTCACCTAATGAGAATGGAACCAACGATGTCAGCATCAAGAGCATACAACATGAAAGTCGAAACAACAAGAGGCAGGGGAAGACCAAGAAAAAGATGGATTGAAGGAGTCACGGACAACTTGAGACTTCATAACATCACGGCATATGAAGCGACTGAGCGCGCCCTGGCTCGGTTGCCGATCATCTGATAGACTGCGACGCCTAGCGGCACAAGCAGATTTTGACAAAAGAAAGAAACATCAGAGTGTCTCACGTTTTGTGAAAGTCAACTGTCTTTACTATAGATCAGTATTCCTTTGTTTAATAATTAAGTATCTGCCAGTTGTCTTCTTTAGTAACTGATAATGACATAGAAAGTGATATCATTGCACTTGAACCAGGCTAAGCATTCATATGCACATGCTCTCATGTTTTTTCTTAGTAGTTACAACATGCATATTATTATATAATCATAACATGCATTATTGATAAAATACAACTGTTTGAAAGTTTGAGCGTTTGAAAGGGCCGAGTGTGAAATGGGCCTGCCTGCCAAATTTGTAACCCTTTGAAAATAAAGTCTGTTTGTTCGCTCATTCAGTCTCTCTTGGGAGATATCGAAGAGTATGAATACTAACTACATCCATCTAACATTTAAAAATGTTTTGGTTAAATGCAAGTTAAAGCTTTGTTTAATTTCAGATGAATGCTCTAGAATTACAGTATGGCAATCACGACCCTTTCTTTTATGTCCTCTGAAATTCTTTACAATGTCCATTTTTAACAATAATATGTGCAAGCACAAACAGGCCCATTTTTAAATTGCAGAAGGCAAGCATCCAGTTCCCCACCCCAGTATCAGAGTGGAGTATAGTTTCCCAAGTTTTTTTTTTTTTTTTTAAGAACTGGGATTGTCTGCCAATCATGTAGCAGGACCTTCACAGAACTCTGCAGAATGCTTTTAATCAACAGCAAAATAATACTGCTAATATCAAAGAAGATTCACATTTTCAAATAAAAAATAAAAAAAAACTGTCACTCCTGGAAAGAAAATAAATAGCAACATATTTTTTTTCCCCCCAACAATGACTAGTGTTAAAGAATAGATTCAATAGAGATATTTTATATTCTACAAATAATAATGTCACAAAGAACTGGGTTTCCTGAACGAGATGGCTGTGAAACTTAAAATTAAAACCTTTTCAAATAAAAAAAAAATACTTTCACTCCTATATCAATAAATACTTAAGCATATAAAAGTCTGGCCATAGCAATGCTGATGTTAAATTAAAAACCAATATGAGCTTATGGCACCAACCAATCAAACAAATAACAATGTTGAGAAATTGGATTTTTTATACTGTTAAATACAGATGATTTAGACAACTGAGACTTGTAAACCTTATTTAAGAACAATTTTTACAATATTTAAAAATCAACAAGGAAATATTGACGTAATTCTACAAGAGCGGAACGCTGAAGAAAATTGTGTATAATCACAGTAAGACTCTGGCCATGTGAATACTGAACAGTTGACGAAAAAACAGTAAGAAAGATGCAGGTCTTGGAAGACTAGGTAGGGGTTGGTTAAATGAAATAGGAAGTTAAGGTGCAATGGACATAAACATTCATGAAGAGGTGGAACTGGTGAAAGATCAAGAGTTTCCCAAGCCAGTGGAAATAAGCATGACCTTCTGCAAAAAACTAGATAATTTTTTCTAAACTGACAAATCACATACCATTAACGATGCGGCTGTGATTGGTTCTGGGGTTGACCTTGCACTGGAACCACCCAATAGTTTCACATAATTAGCTGGAAACCAGCCAATCTTTTTCTTTTGACCTCTCACCTGGAATTTATAAAAATCTTTATATGAAATAAACATTACCAATGAAATCTGTATGGTTTATTCAATATGTGACAACATAAGCAGACAAGGAATTAACCGTCTGGCTTCCATACTTCAGTTTTGAATGAGAATCAGAAAAACTTCTGTTAAAAAGTAACTGAACGTATCACTGCTGAATTCTTTCTGTTCTAAGCAACACAATATGTAAGACTGGTTATTCTCAATGTACGCCAATCAACATGTCAATACTTAAACAATAAATCCATAACCTAAAGAAATGTCTTCTTCTTATATTCTTATATAAATTATTCCAATGCATTCAAGACTTCAATTTAGTTCATCTATCCTTTTATGTTGTCACAATAAGAATAAACCTCAATAACTGTTTCTGTATTGTTTATAAACAGGGACTTTTGCAGATAGTCAGCGTTTGTGGCTTAGATGCTGCGAACATGCTTTGTAATTCTGTGTTGCTGGGCTCGATTCCAGCTGCAGGCAATTTGGCAGCAGACTGCACTGTGTTGGTTTCAACAGTGGTATCAAGAGCCGACCATTTAGAACCACTAACAAACTCATCATCATAATGTAGCAGGTCCTTTGCAGAACGTCGCTCTCATCACGGTCTGCCTGAAAGAAACTCGGCCTCTGGCCAGTTCTCCCACCTCATGTACTTTCATACTCAAGGAGTTACTTATTTCATATGCTCATCTTTGTGTCGGTCGGCCCCTTTTTCATGGTACCATGCCTTCTGTTATAATTTTTTCCAAACTGTCGTGGTGCTTGATATGATCAAAATAGTTCAGCTTCTAAGAGCAAACTAGTGAACCTAAAATTGCCTGGTAAAATCACAAACACGTCAAAAAATGCTAGGGTTGGTCTGCAATGTCCTATAGAGGACACACAACAAACTATTTTGTTGTTGTTGTTGTTGTTGAGAGCAAGGGGACGCCAGACAGACAAATACCTGGATGGCTTGGCCAAATAGATGGGGGCAAGACAAGGACACTTACCTCATATGTGACTTCAGTCATTATGTAAGAATGCAAAAAAAGGACAGCCTATGATTAATGGTATGGCACATGATGATGATAATATCCAGAGTTTCTTTGCCTAGGCGTCACTGTACTTCATAAGTTTCCTGGAGGGTCGATTTCTTATAAGGAATTTTGGTAAGATGAATAGTCAGAAGAAGCAATCTTTGCATGTTTCACAACTTGTATGTCATTTGCTGGTCTTTGTTAGCAATGTGTATTAATCATACAGAATCAAATATTACTAAAATATAACTAACAATCTGTGCTTGTGTTAATGCTCTTTGAAAAATATTTTTGCTTCAAAAGATCCACAATTTTAATAATGTACTCCACTGAAGCAGATGCTGATGATAACAACTCTACAATCTTCTCTCTCATCTAATATTTTTATGAAGTTGGTGTTGTTGATATTATTATTGTTCAACTTTCTGATCACATTCTTTTGTCTTTCAATGCCTCTCTGGGCTACACATTTACCACACAGGTCTAACTTTTTCTAATCTCCTTCTTTTAAAGATATGCTTCTTCTTCTTCTTCTTCTTCAATCCTTCTGTCGGAAAACTTATACAGGAGGCCGGTAGCCTTTATGAAAGCTATCGTGCAGTCCATATCTCCTCATGTACTATAAAGTTTTGACTTCACTGTGCTTGGAACAGGCCAGATTACATCTCTGTTGACAGCATACAGTTGACAGTGTTAAAGCACATGCTCAGCATTTTCTGGCGCCAAGGTATACATTTCGGGATTTCTTTTTTTTTTCTAAATAGTTTTTCCTACACCTAAAAGTTTGTAACATTTATGGATATGGACTAAAATGAATTTCATTTATTTTTTGGGTTTTTTATAGTTTTTATTATTATCTAGCAAGTCTTGTAGCATTTAACTAACATGCCTCACTTTTAAATTTAAGAAAACATATTAAATCAAAACTGCAAATATGCAGCATATGTTGCTAACAAAAGTAACTTCTGGAATGCATTTGGGTGAAGTATTTTAAAAACATTGTTACGCACTTGCAGCTCTCCTTCCCACCATCCACGAGGACTTTTCTGCTTTACGTTGATCAGGTTTCCTATCTCCAGGCTCAGTTGACCAGTTCCAGTTGCCACATAAGGGGCTATAACTCTAGCAATTTCTGCAGATGGAACATTATACATCAACATTGGACACTATCAATTAAAATTTGCAAAAGTCAACATAAAAAGTGTGAAAATACATCAGAAGTAATTTACAATGACAAAATAGAGCTTTAAACAACACAGGACTTCTTTTTCTACCCTTTATCCTCCAACTGTGCACAGGCTCTTAACAAACTTGTATTAGGAAATTTTTCTTTTTCTTGTGCGTTCATCCGAAGATATAAATATTTTGTGCATGTTTACAACATGGCTGCAATATCTGCGCCTTTAAGCCAACACATCCAACTTCTGAATGCATTTGTTGCCTAGGTTAGCCTTCCTGGAAGCCATTCTATCCTGCATGCAGCTAATAACATATTCTCCCCATATTTGTCACCTCATTCTCTAATCCCTTCTCCATGCAGTTTTTTTGTGTGTGGTGTGGTTGGTTTTAGCTTGTCTTAATTCCTCTGACCATGTGGGTTACAGTAATAAGACTTTCTAGTCATATTACTATCAGTTTTTCTCTATATCCATTTTATCACCTCTTCTTTTTCTCTTCTTGGAATGTAGCGACTGTAAACAGGGGAGAGTTTTGTTTTTTCATTCACTTTTGGATTTAAGTCTTGTCCGAGAATAAGAGTTTTGCATACATATCCATTTTACAAATCTGGCTTACTTTGGTTCCTAGCCTTTCAGGCAGATGCACTCTGACTTAAAGTAAACATCCCTAATCAGTCTTGCCTTCTATAACATACTTGTCTTTTGCACAACTCCACAATAACGCAAGATCAGATCCAAACAAGGTATAAAGGTGATAAGTGAATCTCATGTTAAAAAACATCTTAGGTTAAAAAACAAAAACACCTCACAAAACATGAAGATGGTGTACAGCAGTGGTTGGTGAACTATTTTGGTGAACTATTTTATAAATATATTAGTCTTTTGGCTTAAGTCACATCAGTTACCCTAATATAGGTAAAGAACCCCTTTTTTTTTAAAATGTCAGTGGCACTGATCATATGATGTTAAGCCTTATATTTTTTTTTCACTTCAAAGTTCTTATGTGTTTGCTAAAGTTGGATACACACAAACATTTTTCACAATTCCAACAACAAAATGAAATTTTCTTGAACTCTTCTGGTTCCATATAATTCATGATGCATTCATTAGTCAGTCCAAAGTCATAGAAAATTTCTAGCTTTTTACTATCCTGGATAGTTGTTATATTAATTTAATTACATCAGAATTCTCAGTTTTACTCCGTCTCATAGCATTATTATTATGTTGGACTCAAGCAGTGGCTTCTTTGAACATGAACTTCTTGATTCATAAGCAGTTAAGTAATTGGATTCTGGTACCGAAAGTGTTTAAGATTTCTTGTTCGTCTTCATGGCCATCAAGTGACAACCTAAATATATTCACAGAGGACAGAGGATGGGTTTTCTAACATCTCCAAGATGTTAGTCATCAAAATGTGCATTTGTAGGCCAAAACAGTTTAATTTGCTCTGCAGCAGCAAATGTTTACATATTTAATTTTACAACAGAGGCATAAGAACCCACTTGAAACTACCAACACTCAAATGTTCTCTACTTAACCTGTCTTTCTGTTACATCTTATCTATCCTTTTAATTTCAACAGAAAACAAAAACTCACCTGGCTTCTTAAGACTCTTCTGTTCTGGCTGAAAGTGTAAAAACAAACCACCCATTTATAAAATGATTAAATTCAAAGAAAGGCAAAGAATATCTAACAAAGCAGTTCTCTAACTCTGTGCTCCAAAATGCAATTAGACAAAGTTCTCAGCCTCTCTGGCCTATAGTAGCACTTGTTAGAGCAGTGTGGGACTGGGAAATCTTTACCCTGAGGATTTAAGGCCACAAATGGTTAGCAGAGTCATCTTGAACTGTGCAGGTAAGGATGTTTATCATATTCTGCTCGCAAAATAACAAAATGTCCATCTTGTGGCTTCTGCACAACAGCCCAGTGTTCTAAATAATCAACCAGCTGGTCCTCTCTGACATTTATACTGATAGAAAAGCAGTTTTAATTTATACCGATTCAGACCTGCTTATACCGGTTTTGAAACATGAGAGGGGCTACTGGCCGAACTGTTAAAACCCTGGGCTCTCAAGCAGGAGACCCGGATTCAGATCCTTGGTAAGGTTGGGGATTTTTTCTGTCAGGGGCAAAATAAAATCTTAATCTGCACAGTCGTGGCGACAGCATTAGCCATGCGGCGGTAAATCCTCAGGCTCAAAGACCTTCCTGCTTACACTGCAAAAAATGGTATAATAGAGGCAGTAATTGGCAGTTTTGACACATGAAAAAAAAAAGTGAAGAACTTTGATGACATCGTGGCACCAGGGTGTAAAATGCTAGGTTAATTATTCCTAACCAAAAAAAAAACCTTCACTGGGTGATGTGGTCAGTATTATACTGCTCAATGATTTTATTCGGGTGAACCGACATCACACCAGCCATGTTATCAATAATCTACTGTAGAAGCTATGCCTAAGTGGAGAAAGACATACATTCACTAGTTTATTGGTCTCTTCTTAATTTGAGATTAAGAGATTACATTACAAATATAAGTCAATCATTACAGTGTGGACTGGTTACAACAGTTATAAGACAGTTGAGTTGAGTTCAGTCAAGAATTGAAATCACAGCACTCGGGGCATTCCCATGCATGCTCCGTCCTCAACTTCAGCAGCCAGCACAGAGTTCCAATACTGATGGTACCGGTCACAATCTGGTTATATGTGCATCTTGCCTTTCCTCTGAATGTAGCAAGTTATAAGACAAAGAAGAGGGTGCTATTTTGGACACATCCAGAAGAGAAATGAGCAGAAAATCATCAAACAAGCATTACAATTGGAAATAAATGGGACTAAAGAAGGATGCCTAAAAAAACAAAAAACTAATACATTTGCTGATGAGAGAGGTCAAAGCTGCTGGACCAGATTCCATCCATGATACTCAACTGACTGTCCAGGCTAGAATGGAATGCAGGCCCTATGTGACAAATAATGGCAAAAAAAAAAGGGTAACAATGATAATGATTATGGTGTGGAGAGAATGGTGCGGTGGGAAGGGACCATGGGATCTGGTCAACACTATACACTCAGAGGAAAGGCAAGATGGACATATAATCAACTGCTACAGGTATCATCAGAGCTGGAACTCTTCTGCGGCTGCTGGAGATAAGGAAAGAGTGTCTATGGAAATTACTGAGTGCTGTGATGTCAATTCAAAAATCAGCTCAACTCATAAAAGCCAACATCTTTACTGGTTTATTCTGAAGATAGGATTTATTTAATGTAATTCACCATAGATCCAGCATTAAAGCCACCAAGAAAGCTCTATGAAGTTTACATATATACAGGGTTTTACAAAATGCATATTTCGTTAAATATATACTATTTGTTAAAAATATTCATACAATAGAGTGAGAAAGGTCTAAAGTTTACAAATTACAATAGAAGTTTTAGATGTTTAATATGGCTGCCACCTGCAACTAGGAAAAAGGTCAAAGTGGTAGCCGAACTAACCCCACACAGGAAGAAGCATCTCCAGCATAACTGAGTTTACTGCAGCTTTGATATGATTCTGTAGGTTATGAAAGTGCACTCTAGTGGTAGTGTATGAAACTTTAGATCTTCCCCTTTTTTTTTGTGTGTGTATATTGTTCATATTCAATGTACATTCAAGGAAATATGCATGAATGAAAGTGTACCATGTTTTTGAACGACCCTGTATAAAGACAAGAGTCTAGCCCAATGAAGAATGCTCCGATTAAGAAGCAAACTGCTGTGCCAATGAGCATTTCAGAAATTAGAACTAGAATCGCCATGGAAAATTGTTAAAGTGTTATACAGAGTCTCTGTATAACACTTTAACAATTCTCCATGGCAATTTTAGTTGTACAATTGTGAAACATGAACAAGAACAGGACATAGTGCGAAACAAGTTTGTTTTTTTAAATTTAGTTTTATAGGTCTTTTTGTTTTTCTGGACTGATGAAGGTGTTTTTGCAGGAAACAGAGATTCTATAAAATGTGATTTTGTCCTTGAAAAGTACATGAGTTGAACACTCCAATACTGTTGACTGACTTACACAGATACATTCACATACATATAGAAATACTGCTGACTCAAACATACAAAGCTAAACACATGTATAAATACCACTGACTCAAACATGGAGACATCTCTGTAAAACCACAAGCATAGATACCTGTATGTCCAATTTTTTCACATAAGTCGCTGGGAATGCTCCTGACTTGCTCTGATCGGCTAAGGTTCCAACCCACCAATCACCTGTGGTGCCAGTAACGTAAATCATATCTCCCTCATTGAAATTGAGATCTGATGGCTCTTGGGATACGTAGTTATAGATAGCGATGTAATATTCTAATCCAGAAAAAGAAAATAAGAAAATTGGTTAAGCTCATAACACAGCAATAAAATAGTAATGTTACATTTAAACTACTAAACACAGCATATGTGTAAATGCGTGAGTAGATTCAGTCTTTCAACATTGGAAATGAATCAGCACATGAATTAAAAAAATTCTCCAGGAGCGTGGGGAGGACATCATTGTTCACTTTATTTGATCAAGCCTAGAGAAAACCGTTTTTCTAGAATTTATGGGTTTTTGTTGACATGATGTCTTTGGACAGTCCAGGACAGAACACCTATATTACAGCTTTAGAAATGGCTATAACTGCCTAGTGTGTAGACATAGGGGGTGAGATTTTTGGAGATATTATCTGGGATGAAAAAAGATTTTTTTAAATTGTGGATTCACAGTGATGTCATGTAATTTCATTATTATGTCATTATGCTTATGTGGTAAAGTGACAAAAACCACTTTTAAGTGGTCAAAGGGAAGGAAATCAAATAATTCTCTGTTCCATTTTTATTTAATGATTGACAGAGAAATACAAAAATTTCTTGATTAGTGACTAGAAAACAAATTTCTAATTTTGTTAGTGATCTGATGTCATCAAAGAAGCAGAGAACGTCAGGTCTGCTTATCTTCACAGTGATTTAGGGGTTTGATCCCCTGAATATTTTTTTTTTTAACTGATCAATATTCCACGTTTCTTAAGCTTCTTCTTCTCTTCTTCTAGTTTCTTAATGCAGATTTTTAGTTTTTGTATTATAAGAATGCATTTTGTAACAAACTGTGAAAAAAGTCCTTTTTTCCTAAACATTCTTAAAGGTGAAAGGATTAAACCACTCTCTCATACATTCACTCACACATCCATAAACTATCTGATACACTCATTCATACATCCGCACACACCCTCTTTCTCTCTGTTCCTCATACATTCTGCCTCCAACATAATCTCTCTCACCCATTCAGTCCCATTTTTTTCTTCTTTCGACACACACACTTCTTAACCTCTGTTTCAGGTGTTCTATCCTTCTTTCTCTCTTACACACACATACACACAATTTAACTGACAAACTTACCAAATGAAACAGTGCCATATTTGTGAATGTGTGTTTTAGTTGGTAAAGTGTGATAACAAAACATGAATCTTTTATTCATAGGGAGATTAGGCATGCTTAGAAACTTTTCTTCCTGTATTAGCATCTTGGTGTCTGCGTTCACTCAGTGCTTGGGTTTTCACCATAAACTCCATCATGGCTTTAGGTGTTGGTTTTATACTGCCTGTGGTATCTCTGAGTGCTTGATTTTACACTTTGTCTAATTCTTGTAGTGCAGTTTTTTGATGCCGAACTCCCCGCTGTTGATCCTTATCCAAGGTCTGGTTAAACACTGTATTGGTATTTTCACTACTAGCACCCCATGTGGTTCCACTTAGTTTTCTCAGAATGGCTACCCTCCTTCTGGCTTTTGTTGCTGTCTTGTTGATGTGTTTATTGTTTGAAATGAATGCAAAGTGGTCTGCTGACAAACTGCTCACAGCTGGAATACCACTGGGTATCTAGGAATTATAAATTTCATTTGTAACCCCTAAGCCACAGGTGGCAACATGTTGGAATGACACTTTCACAAATCTTTGTCTAGTTCCTGGGCTAAACCTGACATAACATATAGAAACCCACAAACCTCCTGCCTGGGAATCCGAAAATTCTGAACTAGCACTGAAGTCATCAGCGGCCACAGGTTGACTGGTTGTGAACTCATCTTCTTCAAACCTGACCAAAGTAAGTTAACCCCAACAAGAAAGATTAACTCAAAGATTCACAAACGAAGCAAAGCTTGTGTTTTACTAAGCTAACAGACAGTCCTTCCAGTGGGGACGAGAATTGATGGTATTTACCTGTTTGTTTTCAAATTTTGATGGCAAACTTATAATGCAACAGAAACTATTTTTTACTTAACTGGCATGAATTGTCATAGATGGCTGGCAAGAACTCAGGAAATTTAGAATATATGAAGCCTTAAGTCTCCTCTGTGTCATTTAAAAAAATTTAAACAGCCCTATCCAATTTCTTTTTCAGATAAAAGACTAAACTACAGGCACAATTAAATCGGTTGACACAACTAATTCTCTCTATATAGCAGATATACTCCTAAGGTGTGCTGAGTTGACGATTGACATCAATGCACTTAAAGCCTTTCCATAAGTGCTCCATCCCCATTTTTCAGCAGGAAGCAGAGAGTTCCAATACACTCAAGCTAGAAGAGCTTTTATGTCACTTAATTCAAGTTATCATTCTTTCTTTTCCTCCCTGTTATGCCTTTCAGTGGTAAAGGACCCTTTTCCACACCTTCAGGCAAACTGGACACATAGGGCCAGACCTGTATTTTATAAACTAATCGGCACTCAATTGGTGATGTGGTCAGCATCACACTGGCCACCTTTACTCCCCAGGACTGGACCTGGTACTCATTTAAGGCTGGGTCGACCTGGGAGCCATGGTCATTTCTTAATTTTTAAACACACAAAAAACAATAAAGAAAAGTCTGGTTCCCTCAGGACCCAAACCCATGACCTTCCAATTTGCAGGCGAGCATTTAGTAACTACACCATGGCGGCCTGCCTATAACAAAGACAGTAATTTTAGAAGATTAGAGACTAGAAACATTGAATATTTTTTTTTATATATAGCAGCAGATGAGATGGTCAGGCTATGTGACAAAATTTGCCTGGTTACAAATGCCACAGAGAGAAGAAAGTTGGAGGAACTGCCAAGACCAAAGTCGGTTCTGGCAAGGAGGAGAAGTAATCAGCGGTTGTATTACATCAAGCTATGGTGTATCATTTTTGAGAAATAAACTCCATTATGTCAGTTTTAAAAAAAAAAAAGAGAGCCATGCTGAACAGATACAATGGACACATAGCATGGGAAAGACCATGCAAAATATGGAAAGACGGCAGCATCATGAACAGCCTTTAAAAACATCGGAATCAAGTTATACAATGCACTGGAAAGAAAATACAGAAGATCCTTATATCTCCCACAAAAACATCAATGAAGTAACTGGAGGAAGTGAAGAAGGAGACAGAAGGTCATTAGGGCACCAATCTCAACTGCACTCTGCCATATGTGTTCCCTTTTGTGTCCGTCCATCAACATGCAAGTTATGCTTAGAGTTTTCATGTCCATTTCTCAAATATTAATTACCCGGTGCAGTTCTGATCGTCCTCTTTTATTTGTTTAGAAACTGTTCCAGTGAAAAGTGTTGAATTTTCAAGTAGGCCTTGATTAATAACCACACCATAAGGAAATGCAAGTTTTTTGCAATTATTAAGAGCTGGTCAGTGAGATGTAGTGGTTAGCCCGCTTGCCTTGAGCCCAGTCATCATTTGTTCAAATATTCATCAAGATAGGAATCCTTTTTGTTTTTAGCTTGAGCTGTGCTCCAACATTATTCCAGCCAAAAATAGATACCAGATTGTTCTGGAAAGTATAGGCAAGAGGCTTGATCATGTCACTCATCTTGTGCCAAATAATATATTTTTTTTTTAAATAGTCTAGTATCTATGCTCAATATGCTCATGGCATAGAGAAGAGTCAGTCTCTATAATTACTTAAGAGATTCAGCTTGAAGATAAAACCAGAATATAAATATACAAAACTCAAGATAGAGAAATATATTTACCCTGACTTCGGAGCAACTCCGATAACTTTTACATAAGCTTTTGGAAACCAGCCACTCTAAAAAGAGAAGACAAAAAAGCACCACTTTGAAGCAACAAATAAACAGCAAAACTGTAAACTGAAACAAACTTTAACGAAGGGGAAAAAAAAACACATTAGTAACTTATATAATTCCTATCACTGTAACTGAATTATTCATTTTAATTACTCAAATCAACAAGATAAAATGAAAGAAAACAAAATTTACTTACAGACAATTTATATTTTTAAAATACAGCATAAAAAAAGAAGCAACATCTAAACAAAACCAATTTCTATGGACATTCTGAATAATTACTTAAATAAGGCAGTATAGTGAGACCTACTTTACTACTGTTCCACGATGCTGATCTAAAATCATATTGCAGGTAAAAGAAAACAGGAGTATTGTTTGCTAAAGTAAAAGCTTCAGTCTTCTCATTCTGTTGAGGTAACAGCATTTCTCCTTTTCTTCTTCTCCTTCTCTTTCCAGCTAGTGTTTGTAGGTCGACCTGCATATTATCTCTTCACTGTTTTCTTGGTTTGCCTTATGTTCTATTCAACTCTTTTGTGTGTGCAGTTTCTGTCCCTCTGTTCTAACAGCATACAGCAAGTAAATTAACTAGAAGTCTTATACAAGTACCTTAAAGGCTGAAGTGAAGACACTTACCCTTCCATTAAGTTCACCAAACCACTTCAAATCCTGCTGCTCTCTGACTAGAATGGTGTCATCTTTATCAAATGTTAGATCTGTTTCCTGTCTGGCCTTCCATGGGTACAAAGCCTTGGCTAGAAGACCTTCAGGTGGTATATGGCTGTTGGGGGTACTAACTTCTTCTGTATAATCTGCTAGACTATCTGGTAATGCACTAGGCTGATTTTGAAAAAAGAAAAATACTAAATACAACTGCTGTAATTTTTACTTAAACTTTTTTTTTTTTTTTAGAAACTAGAATTATGGTATTTTATATTATTGTAAGTAATGCACTTCTTGCAATTATGAGCTGCAGAAATATATGAAATATAAACTGCATCCCTAACACTGAGATTATTCTATACACAAATATTGAATAAAACAGTCAGCTTTACATCACTAGAGTTTTTTTTTAAAACAGTACAAATGAAAAAAAAGCAGACCAGCTGAAGATCTTTGTAAATGTCGTATGTGTCAACAACATGAAGTAGACACAGGTAGGCAGACTACAACACTACCATTGCTATCTCAGAGAAGATATAGACAGCCAGACTACAACACTACCATTGCTATCTCAGAGAAGATATAGACAGCCAGACTACAACACTACCATTGCTATCTCAGAGAAGATATAGACAGCCAGACTACAACACTACCATTGCTATCTCAGAGAAGATATAGACAGACAGACTACAACACTACCATTGCTATCTCAGAGAAGATATAGACAGACAGACTACAACACTACCATTGCTATCTCAGAGAAGATATAGACAGACAGACTACAACACTACCATTGCTATCTCAGAGAAGATATAGACAGCCAGACTACAACACTACCATTGCTATCTCAGAGAAGATATAGACAGCCAGACTACAAAACTAACTTCACTATCTTAAAAGATATAGACAGGCAGACTACAAAATTACTTTTTCTTTCTCAAAAGATATGAGGCAGACTACAACACTGCCATTACTAGCTCAGAGAAGATATAGACAGACAGACTACAACACTACCATTACTAGCTCAGAGAAGATATAGACAGGCAGACTACAACACTACCATTACTAGCTCAGAGAAGATATAGACAGACAGACTACAACACTACCATTACTATCTCAGAGAAGATATAGACAGGCAGACTACAACACTACCTTTAATATCTCAGATGTCTGGTGCTATCGTTATAAAGCGGGATCAACCCAAGAACTGTGGTATTTTTCAGACCATTCTCATAGCTTTTAGACAGTGGTTTAAAAGGTGTACCACAGAAGAGATTTGGGCCCTACCAGGTAAAAATCCTAAAGACAACAGTGGATGCACTGTAGCAAACCTCCATTATGAAGAAGGCAGAACCTTCAGTAGTTAATCAACAAATATAGCGCTTAAACTGGAAATAACCTCATCAATATTGTGTTTTCAATTGTACTGATCATGATTTTTATAAATTACTTGAAGAAAATAAAATCAAAATTATCAACAACAAGAAAACATACTGACACCTATAGAGTGCCAGAATAAGTCCTTGCAAAAGTACCTCTCCCTCCAATTCATCCATTCATTGTCCCATTGTGCCATTAATGTAACAAAAGGCTCACAGTCTATTTCTCCATACTGTTCTATCCTGTGCAATCACTTCATAACGCCGGGTGCCGGATTCGATCCAAGCTGCGGACGATTTGTCTTGCCGAGGTTTCAACAGTGGTACGTAAAATTTGCCTAGAAAAACTACAACAGCCAATAAATGCTAGGGTTGTTTCTGTAATGTTCTGTAAAGGATACACAACTAATGTTATGTTTACTGCCACTGCTTTATGAACAGCTTGTGCTTATATCAGTTCAAAATCAAAGCAAAGTGATCAGCTGCCAAACTGCCTGCAGCCAATTTAAATCAGGTATGTCAGAATTACAAAACCACATTCATCCACCCTAAGCCACAGAGGCAGCCTCAGAATTCATACATAAATGACATGAAAATATAACTGCTGAACATTTGGACAAAGAACTTACTTGAATGAAACTAGAAGTCAAAAGGTCATGTTGAGAAGCAGTTGACTGTTGAACATTAGATGCCTGCTCCACAGGTTCAAATGCACTGCTGGAGTAAAGTAAATGAAAAACCCCCATTAAAAGGTTATCAACAATATTATTGACAGTGGTGAATACCAGTGTTTCACAAACTTTTCTTAGTCACGGCTCCTTTCTCTCAATAAAAAATTTTCCATGGCACTGTTACCTAAGTAAAAGTATGACTATTCGTATGTAAGAGAAAAAAATTTTTGGGAATCACTGGTGTATACACTGGTTAACGGCCATGGTATAACTGCTAGATGCTGGTCTGTGGATCAGAGGTCATGGGTTCAGGTCCTGATGGAGCCGGACCATTGTCAAAGACGACTCTGTCTCCCAGGCTGACCCAGCCTCGAGTGGGTACCAGGTACAGGCCTGGAAAGTCAAGGCGGCTGGCTTGATGTTGGCCACATTACCCACAGGGTGCCGAATGGTCTTTGAAATATAGCTCTGGCCATATGTGCCCAATATTCCTGAAGGTGTGCAAGGGTGTCCTCTACTTTACTTTGCATACACCGGTTGAAGTGGACAATCCATTTACATTAGTTGGTGCTTATTGAGCAAGCAAATCTCTGGCCCTAGAAAAAAATGTGTGTAGAGGGCAGACTTTAATCTTCTACTTCTGTATTTCTCCATAAAAGGGCTTTTGGCACACTGTGTTGTGGTTTACAGCTAGGCTTCAAAAGCTGGACTTTCAGCCCAACACGTCTGATTTCGGCAAAACCTTTTTTTAACTCCCTTTTACGGTTTAATTGTCGGGAGGGGGGGGGGGGGGGGGGGGTTGCAGTGGGTCTATTCTATACCACCATACCCCCTCCCCCAAATGATTCCAAAATGCATACAGGGCACTGCCTACTTTCTCTCTCTCACACACACACACGCTCTGGAGAGAGAGAGAGAGAGAGAGAGAGAGAGAGAGAGAGAGAGAGAGAGAGAGAGAGAGAGAGAGAGAGAGAGAGGGATACTCTGGAAGGTACACTTATAAGTCAAAACAAAAACCATGTCTGTGATACTTTAACAAAATTTAATATACAGACAAGCTGGAAAAAAAACTAACTAGTGCATTTGAAAACAATAAAAAACAAGCAAATCACAAGTTTCAATACACCATTCTGGCACATAACAACAGAACACATCCGGTTCCTACCTAAATAAATCTGTAGATGGCTCATCAAGTCTTTCCACATAAGCTTTTGGAAACCAGCCCACATGCCCATCTTGTTCCCCTTTATACCAGTCTTCCATCCCTGGAACTGGTGTAAATTCCTCATAAACCTGCAGAATCCACACCAAATTTATTATATAAATTCTGAATAAATCTACATTTTTGCAAAGATTATTTTACATATTCATATAAATAAAAAATTTACATTAGATTTATTACACCACTTTTTAATAGGGTAACAACACTTTTGCAGTTTATGTGAAATCCTCATGTGCCGCTTAAACCACACCACATTTACTACCAAATTTCTAACAATACAACAGACTTAAAATGTTTATGTAAAATCAGTGTTTAATACCATGGTGTTTGTAAGTGTGAAATATTTATACACACAGGTTTCTATAATAACATTCTTTGCTCCATGCAGCTATTGAGAGAGAGAGAAAGAGAGAGACAGAGGTGAGGTGACTTTGAGGTCACAACATCTTCGCCTCTAGATCATTGAAATCTAGTTCATTTCATCTTCTGAAAAGAGTAAGATACTTAAAGAGGACTTGGGCACATGTTATATAATTTAACATTCCTTGACAGTTGCCAGTTAAAGACAGGATGCTATATATACATACTTCATTAATAAATTTCTGTGAAAAATCACAACAACCATCTTCAGACAGTATTTTTAAAAACTTCAAACACAAAGTCAACAAATGAGAAGTCAATTCTCATAGTACTGCTTCAACCTTCTGCCCCTTAAATGTAGGTTTTGCTGCTTGTATTTTTCTTGGCATCATGGCTTGAGGCAGTTGCTGTTTACCTATATAACAGCTTTTGTATTGTTTACAATAGACACTATGCAGATTTGCCATGTATAATTATGGGGTGAAAGGGTTAGTGCAGAAATTAAGTGATCACAAGTTCAGCATGGTTGTATTCAGTGCGAGTGCTCAAAACCAATGTACATTCCAAGTCTATTCTGTTAGCGTTTTTGATCACATGTATGAAAAAGGTGGAAACCAAACAGAACTCACCCATATTTCTACACCAGCGACTAAGGTCAACTCATCTTCTCTTGCAGCAGGAAAGTCATACAGAGCTCGATACCTCAGTTTTTTGGGTGAACCTGGTCATAAAAAGAAAAAAATCTAAAAAAATTAGCACCACAGCATATTGCTTATACTATTTGTTGCCTAGCTATTTACGCTTTTCACAGACAGTTTTGACTTCAGCTGTCTCTCATACTTAGTATTTTCCACATAAAAAATATTTTTATTTAATCCACAACTTCTTTGACATTCCCTGATAAATATCAACTGTCTTTTCTTTATGAATTTGAATAGTTGTCAGTGAAAAACCCCCCCCCCCCCCCCCCCCCTAAAAAAAAAACATACAACATTAAAATATTAAAAGTAGAGGAGATGCCGGGAGTGCAGAGAGTGGCCAGCAGGTGCTACAGATGTGGAAGTTCAACAGCTGATTCATGACAATTCATGCCCAGGTGATCTGATTATCTATACAGATTGTTCGGTGTTGAGAGGAAAGAGAAGTGCTTGGGGGTTCGTAGCAAAAGTCAATGGAAAATCTTTAGTGCAAGACAGCCTAGCATATGACACCACAACATCTAGCATGAGAATGGAGGTAGAGGCAGTAACTGCAGCACTCCGGTGGCTAGAGAACAAGATGCATACACGTGTTGTAATTGTAACATACTCTGAAAGCATGTTGAGAAAGATAAAGTTAAGTCTGGAGATGTGAACCAGCGTCATTGCACACGGTTATAAACCACAAGTGCTTTGCCACCAGTACGGACAGCTGATAAAAAGAAAGGTTGAGAAAGTTGAGAAAGGTGAGGACAGGGATGATTTCGAAAAGAGTGGCAAGCTTCACTGGAAAGGTCACAGGTAGTGAGCATACTTTGGATCTTTTCTCCAGGCTATGCTGGCATAGTGGGTAATGAACAGGCAGACATACTGGCTAGATCTGCAACACTGGGTGGTGAATGGATACATGAAATGGCAGATGTCGTCAGGGACCTGCTTTTACAGCTAGGCAGCGACATCTGTGTCATTCAACAGAGTTTATCCGATTTCAGCAAAACCCTAATAAGTCGACTTCTACAATATGCTTGTTATGGGCCTGTGGGACTATCCTTTTCTACCCTAAACTAAAGGCAAGACAGATATACAATCAGACTGTTACTGGTACCATCACAACTGGAACTCTGCAACTGCTGCTGAAGATGGGGACGGAGAGCTTATGAGGATGTGCCAAGTGCTGTAATGTCGACTCTTAATTCAACACTTAGCATTCAGTACTCTACCCTAAATTAAGGGCAAGACAGATATACAGACTGTTACTGGTACCATCACAACTGGAACTCTGCGACTGCTGCTGAAGATGGGGACGGAGAGCTTATGAGGATGTGCCAAGTGCTGTGATGTCCACTCTTAATTCAACACTAAACATTCATTACTCTACCCTAAACTGGGAACCTATACAGGGAAAAAACAGACCAAACTGATCACCTTTGGTTGTTGTACCGTTGGGTTCTACATTACTCTACCCTAAACTGGGAACCTATACAGGGAAAAAACAGACCAAACTGATCACCTTTGGTTGTTGTACCGTTGGGTTCCCATGCTACAGGTATGTTGCTGTAGGTTGCTGAGCTAGAAGTATTATCAAATGCTGCTTCCCAGTTAACTGCAGAGTTCAAGTCATCGCCAGCAACTGTACTGACAGCCTCTGAACTGTTGAAATCAAACCAGCTATCTTGTGCTGAAAGGAAAACAAAGACAATTGTGTTTAGTGACTTGAGTCATTACAATTTAATCCCAATACATTATAATAAATCTGGTAGCCTACTCCGTTACTTTGATTTTGATAATATTTTTTTTTTGTATGTGAAAACTTATGAATGTTGTCTCAGACTCTTACTCAATCACTGGAGATAATTCAGAGCCTTTGAACTGAAATGCTACAGAAACATTTCTTAGAGTGCAATGGATTAAGAAGAAAAAAGACATCATCTCAGCATTGAGATGAACTGGCTCACAAACAGCAGCCTGTCCAGAAATATAATGTATTTTGGCCATTTTGAATGCCCTGGAAAAAATGGTGATAGTGGGTAAAGTTTCTGGATAGAAAAGCACAGAGGACTGGAGAAAGATGTTTAGGTGCATCATGAAAAGAGCAATGTTCTGTAAGGACCTGTTGATCATAAAGCAAAGGCAAGGGAGGGAACATAAAATTGCCTTTAAAAAAAACACAAAAAAGCCAACACACACTGGGGTGGTTTGTGATGTCCTGTAGGGTATACACATCTTCAACTACCACAGTATATATAATGTAGATAATGTGGATGTAGTTTAAATTATTGTCCATTAACAGAAAACCAATGGCAGTAAACCTTCAGAGCAAGAAACAAGTTCACTAAATGCAAGCTCTGACCAAGAAGCTCAATGTTGGGGAAAAGGAAAAAACAAACACAGAAACAACGTTTCAACCAGTGTCTTTATCAACCTCTAAACTAAAGTTTTGGTGATTTCAAAAGATAAGAAGAAACATAAGATCATGATAGGAAAATATACACTGGAGCAGGCCAACCGGTTCAAATACCTTGGAACTATAACAGACAAGAACAGAGACATTAAAGCAGAGTTGGCTGCTCGAAAAGCAGTAGTTGGTAGACTCTTCCAGGCTATAAAATAAAGGTTTTTCAACAAAAGAGAAAGAGACAAGAGGAAAAAAAAATACAGCTTTACCTATGTGCCAGTCCTGACCTAGATGTGTGAGTCATGGGCAATGACAACAGCTCACAGAAGCCAGCTTCAGGCCTAAGAAAAGTGGTATTTGAGAAAGGCAGTCCAAGTTACAAGGATTCAATCAAAATCCTTGTTTTACCAGCCTGGTTAACTCCAAAGTTCTTCTCAACACACAATTTAAAAAACTGCATATGGCTTTTTATAGCTGCATATAAAAAGGTGACCATTCATTCCCAATTTTTAGAGACATTTCCTGAACAATATCTTATGTCCCAGTAATAGATCATTATAAATGGCTGTTCCTGAAAACATCTAGGGGAAACAGTCATAAATGTTAAGACCTCAGTATACTCTTGAATAGCTGTCCCTGAAAACATCCAGGGAAAATAGTCATAAATGTTAGGAGCTCATTTTACTTTCAAATGATTGATAAAAATATCCATGGAAAAAAATTGTAACTTTAGCATACAATGTTCTATTTTTAAACAAATTTATGTCAACTTACTGGTGGGCGGGGGTTTAGAAACTTTCGGCACAGAGACAGCTTTCTCCCTGGGGATCCATTAATGTGACATTAATGATTTAAGAGCATAGATTATAAATTAGCATTCATTACTTTTTATATACTACATTAACAAGATCCAGAACTAGACTTTTCAGAAATGTGCTCAACACAACACCAAACAGTTACATAGTTTAAGAGAATTTGAGTAAGAAGCTATGGTGTCTCTTCAAGAAGTTATCATGCTCACTTCAGGCTCAGAATAAGTATAAGGCTGTTTTATTTTCAGAACCCCTGGTTTCAAAGGGAGTGGCCGCGGAGCGGCTAGACGTTCGCCTGCAGATTGGAAAGTCGTGTGTTTGCTCCCTGGCGGAGCTGCACTTTTTTTAAAAATGACCTTGTCTCGCAGGTCGACCCAGCCTTGAGTGGGTACCGAGTGCAGTCACAGAAAGTAAAGGTGGCCGGCGTGATGCTGACCACAGAACCCATCTTGTGCCGATTGGTCGATAAAATATAGGTCTAGATCGATATGCCATATATGACAAAAGGGGTGGAAATAGTCCTTTACCTTTTTTTTTTTTGTAAACTGATTTCAAATATCACACATTCTTTTATTTATTATGTAGTATGATTACGTATCTAGCATTCTCAGATAAGGACTGAAGATAAGAAACCTACTGCACACGAATGCTGTCTTCTTCTTCATTTTCAGCTTTATGAGGCCTTGAAGTTCACTGCTGCAGATATAGCCTACTTCTACTTGTCTATGTGAATGTCCACCTCATTCTAGCTGGTAACACCAAGTGTTTGTAGAACTGCAGATGTATTTTCTCTCCAATGTCTTCTGAACTGCCTTGTGGTCTGCTTCCAACCAGCTCTTTTGTTTAAATAGTTTTTGTCTCTCAGTTGTCTGACATTCTCTCTGTATGTTTCAACCGCTGGAGTATCAGTCTATCAGCCTTCCTAATACCAATAATGAATTGTGATTTAAACAGATTTTGAATTTTGCTGTACAAATTGAGTTGAGTTGAGTCGAGTCAAGAATTGACATCACAGCACTTGGGGCATTCCCATGCATGCTCTGTCTTCATTTTCAGCAGCCAGCGCAGATTTCCAATACTGATGGTACAGGTCACAATCTGGTTAAATATCCGTCTTGCCCTTTCTCTGAGTGTAGTCAGCCGGCCAGACCCTCTGGTTACACCCAAGTGCCTCATTCTCTCCAGGCTATAATAATCTTCTTTCTCTATTGATTCCGTTGCTTGTTCCCAAAGAGCCTTGACCACATCTGCCTTGTCATGTATTATTTCACCACCAAGATGTGCAGATCCAGCCAGTCTGTCTGCCTGTTCATTACCCACCACGCCCTCATGGCCTGCAGAAAAGATGTTGTACAAATTGTGCACATTAAATCAGAATTCGTGGTGATTTAACATGGTTTCTCTTCTACTTTAAAAAAAAAAAAGAAGGAATGCTATAATGTGCCAATAAGAATAATGCCAACATACTTTTTGTGCAACTGTGCTATCTCCTGTCTAAGCTTTTCTTGTTGTTCTTTATCAGCTTGTTGTTTCTGCTGCATTTCTCGTGCAATCTTCTTCTGAAGTGCAATCTTCTCATCCTGTTGTTTTTTAAAAAGAGGCAGTTCTCGCTCTAGCCTTGCTAGATCATCTTTCAAATTCTGAAACAACCCATATTTTTATTGTTTAAAAAAAAAGTAGGTGTATTATTACTATCACATTTTGGAAAAAAAAAAAACAGTAGGTTCAGTATCATTATCGTGTTTATTTTAAAAAGTAGACACATTATTACTATCATATGAAAAAAGAGGTAAATTATTACTAACAAATTTTTGTTTAAAGTAGGTTCACTATTGACTGCATCTAAGACACAATGGCTTGTGAGCTCATTCCGGTGTCCAAATACTTGTGGCGGTCGTTTTCACATAGTTATGGCACTACAAGCGCATGTACTGGGTGTTTTGTCTCAACAGCCTTTTTATACAGACTATACTGCCACAATGCCTAAACATTTTCAGGGTCATAGTTGTTGGAAATCATGTTGCACATGTAACTTTCACTGTTTTCATGCAGACTGAATCAAGCATTTTCCATTCAAGCAGCCACTCACACTCTACCCCAGGACAAACACTTGTGTGATGAGGTGCTTTGCATGATCTCCACGTTCACGGCAAGTCGAGCAGAAAAATATGTGCCACAAATGACTGCACAAGATACTTGGGGCTGGAAGAGTAAGCGAGGGAAAGTCCGAGGTTGACTCGTGGTCAGCTGTGCACAAGAGTTGAAAGAGAACAGTCCTGACGTCGTCGATGTAGTTGAATGAATTGTAGTCAACATTGAGTAAATGATTATTATGGTATATTTGTGGAAGTGAACAGCAAGGATGTTAGTTGAGTAATTGTGATGGAATAGGAGAAATAAACTGGCAGAATGATTATATTGGTTACAGTTTGATGCTGAGAGCAGTGTTCCAGTAAATGTTGTTCAAGTTGTTGAAACTGCTGTGTTTGTATGCATGCATGCTTCAGGATTTCACCAAGACTAATCATGGGTTCATCAATTTTTTTTAATTAAATAGGATAGTAAAGGGCATTTGTTTAGGATTTTCACTCACATAGGAACAGAGCGATTACAAAGTGACTTGTCTGCAGTGAAGCTGAAACTAAGGCTAGCAACTAATGATGAATGGTTTTGAACTCAGTCAGTTTAAATAACAGCTCAAAATCTGTGCACTACAAACACTGTGCATGAGATTCAACCTGCAACTCCATATGTACCTTCAGTTCGGCATTGCTGCAGTCAATTTCACCAAGTCGAGCTTCAGTATCACTCTCCAGTTGCTCTATCTCCTTCTTCATTTTCTGAATACTGGCTTTCTTTGCCTCAATGCTGCTTACAACTGTACGATGTGTGTCAGCTGTAGGGTCAACGAAAAAAAGGACAAAGTGAACTAGGAGCAGTAGAAAACTCTATTTACAGGTCATGCGCAATATAAGGCTTCACAACATCTAAACATCTGTCAACTGACATTCTTATAAAGTTTATGCTAGTTAGGGTTAGAGTCTGTTCTACTACTTGATGCCTACCCCAAGCTGCAGATGATTGAATAGCCTCCAAATATAAAGGTTAGCCACAAAAACATCAAAGATGCAAACAGTGGAGAATGCAAACTGAGAAGCAACAGAATAATTTATAATCTGTGTCAATCACCACTAATTACTGGTAACATGAGGGCTAATAAACTGCATGGTTAGGAAAAACAGAGAAAATGACACATAACAGACATTTAACAAAAAGTGTGTACAGAGAGAATGACACATAACAGATATTTTTTTTTTGTGTATGTGTACATAAAACTGAATGGGAGTAGACCATGATGCAGACCAAGAAGACAGCAGATAGATAATATACAGGCAGACATGCAATGACTTGGAATAATTAAGTGGGAAGAGAAGACCAATGACAGTGATGAATGGAGGTGGGTGGTGATATCTGTAGCAATGAACCTCAAGGGCTCAAAATGATGAAGAAGAAGCCACAAATATGTTAAAAGAAATGGTCTCTGACCAATGCAGGTGGTGATCACTCAGCGGAGGCAAGATAGTTGGTGGGATGATATCTCTATAAACTACTGCAGAATTATGTGACAATGGTTAAAGGAGCCATGTACAACTTCTAGATACAATGAAAAAACAAAAAGAAACAGATTTTAATTAGAAAAAGAAACAGATTTCAAACTTAATCATCTGAAAAATTATCGGCCTACTTACGTCATATGAACCTCTTTTAACTACAGTGAAGAGGTGAAAAATGCAATGGTATGGACATGTAATAAGATATAAAAACAATACTGCAGGGCTCAGTAGAGGGAAAGAGGAGAAGAGGCAGACCAAGAAAGACCCGGTTACAGAACCTGACTGACTGGACAGGCCTCAGACATGTCATCATACAGTTCATCGCAACTGACCGCCAAAGGTGGAGAGAGCTGATCAGACAGTCAACAGAAACTGGTGACCGAATGACACGTAGTATTATGGGGTAATGATGATGTCATATCAGTGTATACAATATTGTTAATGATATACTCATAAAATAAGCAACACACTGTAAAAGCTGAAACTTACACAGTGGAGCTGCTTGTGCTGTTTGCACTTGAACACCATATACATCTTTTTCACCACCAAGAGATGCCAGCTTTTTATTCAATTCCTATTTAAAAAAAAAAAAAAGAAACACCCTCTCAGAGAAATAAAATTATATCACAACTGTCATTCACTGTTTTTTATTTACCAAATATGCCTGTCAACAACTTCAGCTTTGCATGCTGCATTGTGCCCACTTACAGTCGGTTTATATTTTAATTCATACCAATGGAATACACTTTTCAACAATACTAATTTTGAACAATGAAAGCAAAAACTGTAGATTGCAAAATTATTGCCTGGCATAGTTCACTGTATCTCGCCAGGTGCAAACGACAATAACAATGTCGTAAAATTAAGTAAATAAGTAAATCCTTTATAACTGAAGTACAAATTCAAACACTCAAAATTTGCACAATTAAAATTTTATTTCTACTATTTCTACTGCACATCTTGCAAGAAATTTTGTATTTTATGAAAATATGTTTTTTTTTTTTTAATGTATTAAACATATTCTGTCTCTACTGACATATAAGAAGAGATGCAATAATGACATATCAATTAGTTTCTTCTGCCAATGTTAACTTATAGTTAGTTTTACATAAAAGTTTATACTATAAACTATGTCATTATTGTGAGATATTTAAAACCAAATCGGTCTAAATTAAGTTACTTTAAACATGCTAAAGATAGTAAATATGATGTATATAAAATGTGATATTTCTTTTAAACAGGGTTGCCATAAGGAATGTCAATGTTTTCAAATTTATTGACAAGCTTGATAACAGTTTCATGACCTATATCATCATATAATACACAGGGTTGTCTAATTTAGTCACATAATAAGCCAGTTTATAAAACTATCAAAGCCTAAAGCACAAACATTCCCTAAAATTCTGATTTTTTCCAACTTAGAGCAAACCTGTTGTGTTTTTTCATGATTTTTTGGACCTGGAGTCATGTTTTCTCAGAAAGAATATCAATAAAAACAAGAAGTAGAACTAATCACAATGCCACAATCATTAACATCAAAAAGTCTTTATCAGCACAGAATACAAGCAGGCAATGATACAATAACAAACAAAAATACATAAAAATCACTCAGCTGTCCGGGGAAGCCTTCACAAAATATCAATGCACATTTGAACACTAGAGACTCTTCAGTAACGTCTTGTCACCAGAGTAAGATACTGAACAAATAATGGTAAAAAAAATTTTAAGTGATAACTCAAACCAGCCTTCTATGGCTTCTACTTATAATATGCATATTATGTTACTATTATTTGTTTTGCCTATGAACCCCCATAACAAAAAGGAAATTAGTCGATAAAATGTCAAAGTCCACAATACATACATTTACTTCATTGAGTAATAATTTTGTTATTAAACTGAGTCGGCGTCTGTGGCTTAGACGTTGCGAACGAGCGCTGAGTTCAATCCCAGCTGCAGATTATTTGTCTTGCGATGGTGTCGACAGTCGTACTAAGAGCTGACCATTCAGTAAGCAATGGCAAACTACTTAACGTAAAATTTGCCTAGAAAAACCACAATAGCCCACAAATGCTGGGGTTGGTTCTGCAATGGCCTGTAAAGGAGAGGCATCTTTCTTTCACTTATTAAACTGAACTGCTCCATGCAAATAAAGATATTGAACTGGATCTTCAATTTTCAGATAGAGTTATGCTGAACAAATATACCTATGAAATGAATGTGTGAAAGTACCTACCACTGTCTGTCTCTCAAGCAGATGTATATCTGCTAATGTTCTATCCCGAGACACTCTCATCATATCAATGCTGCTGGTGACGTCTGCAACACCTTTCTGAACCTGGGCAATCTTCAGAGCTAGCTCTGCCTTCTTGGCATTCTGAAACCAAAAATGTGAATCAATTGCAAAATGAATTATTCATAAAACAAAGCATACAATCTAATGCAAGAACTCAGCTAGAATGAGAACATGTAAATTCACTTTATACTGCTCACCACTTAAAGCAAAGCTTTAAAAAAAAGGACCATTTTCAAGCCGGTCACATATAAAGCATTCGACAAGTGACAGACCCACGTTTTACAGACAAAACAGCATTTAAATGTTGGTGTGGTCAGCACCATGTCAGCCACCTTTACTTTCCATGACATTTCCTTATATGCATTTTAGGCAGGATTAATTTTTCATTTTGATTTACGACAACAACAAACATAAAAGTCTGACACAATGCAAATTAGAACTCAAGAATCTTATGGCTTCGCTATTTGAACTGGCTAGTTTTTAAAATCACTTCAGAGTGCTGCTTAAGGAGGCTACAGTAGTTGCAACTGCATGTCCAGATTAAATTATATATATGGCTCACACTTGATTCTAGTTTTCTGCAGGTAATTTTAGTAATCTGAATGATTATATGTGGTGGTATTTTCATTTCTAAGATCACTTAAAACATCATCATAATCATATGCTATGATGCTAATAATAGAGATCAAGATTCAGCAGTTCACATGACCATCCGAGGGTCTGTGCTCTGTTCTAGATTTGTGTGTGTGTCTTAATATTGTTATGTTAAAAATAAGAAACAAAAAATTCGAAAAAGTTTATGTTCAATTTTTCAGTTATTTTAGGGTATAGATAAAGGGTTAGCAATTCTCTATCAAATATTACCAACAAATATAAACCATAAAACGAGATTAACGTCAAGAAAGGATCAATAAGCATGTCACTGGCTGATTATAATGTTTAAATCACCTACCAGAGACTCTAGTTCATTCTGCAAATTGGCTAAGTGCGACTTCATCATTCCCAGTTGCTCATACTCCCTTTGCTTCTCAACCATTAGTTGTTCTTTTCTTTGCTTTTCCCACTCCATCTGTCGCTGCCGCTCCAGCTCTCTCCGAGCAGCCTATTTATGGTAAATTGCATTTTGATAAGCGTGCGTGCATGTATGTATGCATGTGTGTGTGTGTGTGTGTGTGTGTGTGAGTGTGCATGTGTGTGTGTGTGAGTGTATGTGTGTGCATGCGCATGCACATGCATGTGTAGTAAAAATGACAAATAGAAGTGTAAGGAGTTTGTCAGTTAGTATATAAGGTACAATATTAAATATAGTATAATTATACTGTAGTACAATAGTATTATACAATATAATATAATTAAATAAATCGATTTATTTGACATAAATAATCCAACACAGACTGGCCAGACAACATACATGAAGGCATATATTCAGTAATACAGTATAATATGTGTCACATTATCTTTTAAAAATGAAATAAAATTACCTGGGAAAAGGACTGACTTATCTAACAGGAATTCACTGTTTAAAAAAAATTACAAGCACTTCCTCCTTCTCAGTAAGAAATTAAAAAGTTTGACTGTCATCTTTTTCATGCCATTCCAGTAAATGTAGGCTGTCATGTTTCACCATCAAACATGACCACCAGGATCATGGAACAGGTAAATGATTTTGTATCACCCCATCTATCTGGCCGACCCATCCAGGTATTTAACTCTCTGCCTTCATCTTGCCAGTTATTAGCAAGTTTTCAAGTCCATTCCTTCTCACAATATGTCCAAAAATATTTTATTTAATCATGTTTATTACATCATTTATTTATGCATTTTGAAAAATAATATTTAAAGCGTAAAAACACACTTACTTAAAATTTGTTTACACTTGAAGTTATTCAGCACAAAGACTATAAGTGATGTACAAAACACAAAGCGTGTAACTCCAGTGCTGACCCTGAATTTCTGAATAAACTGCAACCATGCGCAGAACAACAGACTGGAAAACGAAAAGACAACCTTCAAAAAGTTAAGCAAATAGCTTAACCACTTAGTCACTTATGGAGATCCTAGAAAATCAGCGGTGTGATTTTTGACCCAAGACATATGGGTTAATGGACCCAGAATGCTTTCATTGTGCCACCCTTGTGTAGTATAAGCAACAGCAAAGTGAAATAAATGAAAGCATACTAACTCAGGAATGGTCAGTAAAGAGAAAGTGAGAACAACAATTATTCAGAGAGATAGTGTACAGGGTCTGTCACTTAGGCGTTACAAATCTACTTTGTAATTCTGAAACACCCAGTTCAACTCAGCTGCAGGCAATTCTGCAGCAGGCTGGTGTGCACTGATTTCCTCTATGATATGGAGAGCCCACCATTGAGACAGAAATGGCAAACTAGAGACTGTAAACTTGATTAGTAAAACCATAATCAGCACCCAAAAAATGCTGAGGTTGGTTCTACAACATCTTATAATGGATATGCAACACATATTTTTTTTAAAAATATTGTGCATCAGAGCTATTCAACTAGTTTACTTAAGGATCAAAATTAGACATGGGGATAGTTACAGGCCAGAGACTTGAGCCCCAGCTTAGAAAAATCATTAATACAATACACTTATACAAATTAGCAATCCACAAGCCGCTTGCTAGGCATCTGGGGATCGGATCTGGCCTGCCGGATGCCAGCTGAAAAGCCTTGTTATGCACAGTAGTTTATGACGATGAATAAAGAAAAGTGTAATGAAGTTATATAAGTCATTACAAAACTGGAAGGCATTATAAAACTGGCTTACTTCTCTTTGCTCTAACATCTTCCTTCTATGTTCTTCAATCTCTCGTTCTTTCTCTCTTTGTTTCTCCAACTGCCTCTGTAGCTCTGCTTGCCGTCTGTTCTCTGCTTCTTGCCTGGTTAGATTTTCAGTTCAGTAATGATTTTGAACAATATTTCAAAAGACTGTTCAAAACTAACTTTATCATCCCACTACTATACTGTTCCCACACGTGCGATAAGCATTCTTTTTTTCAAGCGGTTGTTAACTCTTTCAATCCAAAGAAACAGATCATACATTCATAAGTTCCTAACCAGAAGCCCAATAAACATAAGATGTGCTGATTTTACATTTCTCTTTACTATCTCTTAAGCCTCTAATGCTAAACCCCCTGGGACTGAAGGAATTAATTAGCTAAGTCACTATTTTATTAACAATGAGACTTTAAATGAAACCTTAAAAGTGTGACAAAAATTACAATCGCCATCCCCTGTCTTGTAAACCGTCAATATCGTTTTTAAGGATGTCAGTGTTAAGCACATGATATCATGGTGCAGACAAACACTGTGATGTCATAATGACAATTTAAAGATGCCTGCAGTTTTGTCCTGCACCAAAGTGGAGCAGCGTTCTGCTATCCATTTTTTAATCAGTGGGGGGGGAGGGGGGGAAGGAAAGAACATACAGAAATTCATTGACAAATGAAGGTGACAGTACTTTCTACCCTGTACAACTCTTTCTAACCTTTACAACTTCATCTACCATGTACAACTCTTTATAATCTTTACAACTTCATCTACCATGTACAACTCTTTCTAACTTTTACAACTTCATCTACCATGTACAACTCCTTGCAACCAGGAAATTTATTACTTTAGAGAATCTTTAAACTGGAAAAAGGATTTGGCAACAATAACCAGATTAATCCAAGATAATGGTGATGGCATTATAGCTAATGTCAGGGTTATACAAGGTACACAGCTTAGAGAAGGGAAACAGGATAAAAGTCATCATCCCAGGACCTTCAAGACAGTGTTGAAAATAGTATTCAAGCTATACGGCTCTCTTGTTCGGGGCTGTAGCTGAACAATTCTGGATTTTTGCTTGTTGACAAAGGCTGAAACCAGTCATACAGTTCATTAAACAGCAAAAGACAGGATGGTTCCGTTGTTTGACGAGAATGCCCTAGTACAACAAACCAAACAGAGAGCAAGGAGACAGCCATGCAAAATATAGAATGATGGTATCAAGACCAGCATGTCAGGAACAAAAAGATCATTGTGTGCAACAACAACACATCAGAAAGAGCACACAGACGATCCTTACAATTCCCCCCCCTCCCCCACACCCACACACACACACAAAAACTCGATGCTGTACCTGAAGGAAGAGGAGAAAAAGAAGACAAAGTTTTTGCTTAAAATATTTGGTTGTATCTGTGTATGTAATTTTCTTTCACCTCGTTAAGCTTTTTGGTCATAATTTTAGTTGAAGTACGTTATCACAATGAATATCACTGCATGCTGGGCATTCCCATGCATGTTTAGTCCTCTGATGCAGCAGTCGCTCCAAGGTACCTTTATTGATTGTTCCCATGAGAAGTTCTAACAGTATCTCCTGCCTTGACCTCAAAGACAGCACAGATGTGCTCCATTAAGCTTTATTCCCAGGTTATGCAGTCGTGTTAGTGTCAGCAATTCATCATTACCCCCCACCCTAATCCGTCCAGCCCTGATGATATCAGCTCTGTCCATGCATCTTCCTGTTTGCATTGGTGTATTACTCACCAGCTGGTCAGCTCTTTCATTACCTTTTATATTTGCATGCCCATGTGTGTAAATCCAGATGATGGAGGTTAACTGCGACTTCCAAATGCTTTCCATCCATTCAGAGCATAAGATATCTGTTGCTATTACAAGCATGTTCGTGGAGTCTGAAACAATTACTGCATGTGTGGCCGCTTGTTCTGTTGCCCAATCGAGTGCCCTAGAAGCAGCTGTTATCCCCATGATAACACTTTGTTTAGTTCCTTCATGCCTTGAAGGTGGACTGGGTTAGGGAAGGAAAACTGGCAGTCTTCTGAAACTTGAATATGTTTGGCTACAGCCAATGAACTGAAACATAAATTAATTTTCTTTACAAGCTGTAAAATACCTTTTCCTCTCTCTCTTTTCAGCCTCATATTTTTCCTTTTCTAGCCTCTCACGTTCTTCCTTCATCTGCTGCTCCCTAAGAATTGCTCTTCTCCTTTCAAGCTCTGCTTGGCCTTTGTCAAAGTTTTCTTTGCGCTTGTCTTCAAATGTCACTGTAAATTGTTAAATTGTAACAAATTACTCATTATTAAAAATATTTAAGGTTTTTAATTCTAGATAAATTCTCTCTTAAAAGCAACTAATAATGTAGCTGAAAAAGTTTGATAGAGGCACTCTGGGACAAAAGTTTTTTAACTAAGAATTCACATACAAAAGGTTAACAAAGCTACTGTTTGTGAGAGCATATTTCTTATTCTTCTTCTTTTTTGGTGTTCACCAGCTTTAAACTCTGGCAGAATGTTCCGGTTGCTCCTCCACCTCAGGACTGTAGTCCTGTTCCAGAACCTGAGTGTTGTGTGTGATCCGTTTTACAGATCCGACACATTTGTATGCAGACTGTTGGTTCCTTGCCTCTCAGGCGGATGCACTCTGACTTCGAAGGAAGTTCCCAATTAGACAACTCTTATGACATACTTTTGGGTAGGCAGTGGGCCCACTCTTGTTTTCCCTACAATACAGCTCTAGAACCCATAAGGGATGAATAGATATAAAGAACATTACTGAGAAATAAATGGTGAGTTGTTTGGCACTGAAAGAGTTGGACATATAAGTTTAAAAAAAAAAAAAAATTAAAAACTGAGAGATTAAAAAGTAGATAGTGTGACATCCTACCTTGCTCTTCAACCACATCTTCAGCTGGCTGTGAGACAGGGGCAACACTTACAGGCAATGGCAAGCCGGTCGTACTCAACAAATCTCCAAAGGCATCTTTCTGAGGACCTGGTACAAAAAGATGGATGATATTGAAAGAAATTACTGTATTATAGAATAGAAATGTCAACATTATAAATACAGATTTTGGCATAATAATAAAGGTGTTAGCATTATAAATCCAGATGTCAGCATTGTAATTACAAATTTCTACATCATAAATGTTGTAAGCATTATCAATATAGCTGTAAGACTTGTAAACAACAGCTTTCATCCTTACAGAACAATCACAAATCAATTACAATCATAATGAGGACCTATAACCCTTTCTATGTAAAACAATTTATTTTAGGTTAAACAGCTTAATTCACATTGCAAAGGAAACTTGAGAAACTTTAACCCATTCTACATAAAACAATTTATTTTAGGTTAAACAGTTAAATTCAGACTGCCAAGGAAACTTGTTTCCTTCAGATACTCTAATTATACACACAATAAACAACGTAGATTAATAGGCTTATTTGAATAAATTAAAAATATTAACCCTCTCGCCCTTAGAAAGAAAAAAAAATGGGTTTTCACCCTATTAGAAGTCCAGAAAAAAATCCTTTAAAAAATATTTTTTACATAGGCCATCAATTATTTATCTTTATTTTTCCCAAAATATATAAAGATATATGAATCAGCAGATACAAACACTTATGCAATACATTACCATAGGCCTTAAAAAACATGTATCAGGTGACTCATGTTGTGACTTCATGACCTCTACAACTGAGACTTACAGGAAAATCATACCTCAACTTTGCCTTAAATAAAACGATGTGGTCCAAGGGAAAACCACCTTGCACTATTTTTGATTTCGCTAATGTATTCATATCTTGTCATCCTAAATGTCTGTGAGACGTGAAAACAGCCAAAAGCTTTTACTGTGAGTCAGTATAGATAACTTTTAAAAGTGACATTTTTTAAGAATACATGTAAATGGAAATTGTTTTGCTGCTTTTCGGTGCTTAAGTTTTAAAATTATGGGCACCCCAATGGGCAAAAAAAAATTAGAGGAGAGAAGAAGAAAAATCAAGATAGGAGAATTAGATGCTTTGGGTGAATAAAATAGGGAGGAACTGCACATTATGGAAAAGAATAGGATGACTTGGTGAGATATTGCTGACATCCTATACTTCATACGAAAAAAAATGGCAAAAGAAGAAGAGGTAAAGTTTACCAGCATAGCCTGTTAACCTTATGCTGGAATACTTGGTACAGTTAAACCCACACTGTAAAGGACACTCAGTTTCCTTCAGAAACAGTTGTCAAATATGTAATAAACAATCAATGTATGACAATTTGTAGAGCCTGAATGGATGAAACAATTTGCAGGGTTTTAATGGATCAAACATTTTTAATGTATTTGGAAGCTATAGGGTGATTAGTGATTAGAAAGGATTATCATCACAGTGCTCCAGACAGATCCATAGGTGTTCCGATCTCCTCCTCAAAAGCTCCACAAGTGTAAAACGACTGATGACGCCTGTTCTGTGTTGGTTAATGAAACGTCTTGTCCTCTTAGTGAAATTGTTCATTTCTTGCATCTCCAGGCTGTACCCCCAAGTCCATCAGTCTAGACAGGGATATGCAGTCATTTCCTTTGGCGTGCTCCTCGGTGCGGTAAGTGCAGCGCACGGCACTGATAACATCACTTCTGTCCAGTACTGGGCCAGCCATAGCAACTGCAGTGTCAGCAAGATAGTCTGCACGCTCGTTCCCTTGAACACCCTCATGACCTGGCACAAAGGTGAAGGTTAGGGCAAAAAGCTATATAGTGAAACAAATAAATATAACAGAAATAGTTCAGCAAGAAAAACATACCAGCAACAGCAGACGACAGTGGTGATGATGTAGTGCTTCCTGATCTGACCTTGGCTGGCATGAGCTCTGCTGGTAGGGCAGCGGGAAGGACATGACCCATACGTGCCAGCTCTGACAGATGCATGGCAATGCAGTATTCATCACAGGTTAGCTTCCCATCTCGGTCAATGTCAGACAGAGCCCTAAAATATACCAATCCTAGAGACACCATCTTCTATACAATTACTCCAACCTCTTCTTCTTCTCCTTCTTCTGTGTTTACCCACAAAACAGTGGTTGCAATGTTGTGCAGTGGTTTGCAGCTAGGCTGCAATATCTGCACCTTTTTGCCCAACACATTCTATTTCAGCAAAATCACAGTGACCTTTTGATGACATGTTTGTTAGTGGGTCTATTCTTTCCTCAACCCCTCCACAAGGCCACAGAACCCATATAAGGTTATCAAAATGTCAAATCAAAATAGCTGTATTCGCTGTTAATATTTCTTCCCTGCTTTTATATCTTGGGCCAGTCAGTAGCATGTCCCTTGCAGAACCTCGCTTCCATAACAACCCTCCTGAAAACTTTTCGATCACAAGCAAGATGTCCCGCATCTGATACATGCATCTGGAGATCAACTGACACATCCTGCACCCATCTTCTCTTTGGCCTTCCTCTTGGGTAGTCAACATTAATATATAGCAAGACCCTGTCTATTCTGAAATGTACAGGATTGTCAGTGTATGACTTTTCTTCAGTCGTACTCTGGAGAATTATTGCTGATAATGAGCTGTTGAGTTACACAGTCCTTTGAGGCAAGTTTCAACATTTCACTATTAACCGTAGTGGTTTTTTTTTTTGGGGGGGGGGGGGGGGGGGAGGAGGGGGGGAATGAACCCTTGCCATCAACAGTATCTAAATGAAATAAACTGTCTTGGGATTTTTTTTTTTTTATATCTCTGTACCCTCTTTGTGTGGTTGTTGACACATAAGACAATCACAAGTGATCTCAATTGCTGTCAGTCTGCTGCTTTTCTGCCAACTATATTCCATATCAGCATTCCTTAATTTCCCTTTCTACTGTCCTCTGGGTTTCTTTAGGTGATGAACATTTAGTTTTCCATTTCAGTTCTTCATGTGTGATTTTATTTGGAAAAAATATCTGCAGGTATCACATTAGAAATTGTGTTTAGAGTCTTCTGTTTATGTACAATACCCACTGGAATCACTGTTTCACACTAGTATTCCCAAAATGTTGCTGTTGTATATTCTGAGTTTTGTTATCAAACTTAATCTCTCTGATGACTGACTGACTGACTTTCTACCCCAAAAGGACATCACACAAGCGATAAAAATTTGATGACACAGAGTGCCACCATGTGGGTGAGGATCACCGTGGAGAGGTCCCAGAAACCGCGTTCAGCCTTAAGTCCATATTTATGGCCATTCTATATTGCGGCTCCTGGCAAGAGCCAGAGTAGGGCTTCAAATAACGAAAAATTTTGTCCTGAAAAGGACGGAAAGTATTAACAATACCTCTTTGATTCAACCCCATAACTATTTTTTTTTTTTTTTTAAAGAGCTGGCTTTCTGACTTTTACTGTTTTTTTTTTTTTTTAATGACTTTAGGCCCTGGTTAATATGCCTAAATAACAGCTATGGTACTGACTGCAGCTGCTAAGAGTGTAGATGTTGTGGGTATGATTATATCTGCAACAAACAAATACAGTTCTGAGATATTATTTGTGCGTGTGTGTGTTCTTGAGATGTCACAATAATCTTATGATGGTGTCCCATTGTTCTTTTTGCCTGTGTCACCAAAACCATGTGTCCTGGGTCAAAGGGAAGTAAAGCAGTTGTTTCTTTTATGCATTTGTATTTACTGATAACTTCCCCTTAGGTAAAAATTCCCATTAAACACAAAATAATGACACTAAATATGACAAATCCATCTTTTAGTGACTTGGGGGCAGCAATGATGCAATAACTAGCAGGCTTGTCTGTCTGCTCAATGATCACAGATTTCGTAAATGCATTTTTTTTTTTAAACTGACCAAGACTCAAAATTATGTCTGCTTCCTTTTGTTCTGTGTGTGTGTCTGTGTGTGTATCTGTGCATCTGTGTTTGTCTGTGCACATGTGCCTGTCCATCTGTGTGTGTGTGTATGTGTGTGTCTTTGCATGTATGTATGTGCATCTGTGTGTATGTGTCTGTGTGTGCAAGTGTGTATATATATGTAGTATGAATGTGCAAGTGTGTATGTGTATGTATGTGCGTGAAATGTATGTGTGTATATGTATGTATGTATGTATGTATGTATGTATGTATGTATGTATGTATGTATGTATGTATGTGTGTGTGCGTGCGTATGTATGTATGTATGTATGTATGTATGTATGTATGTATGTATGTATGTATGTATGTATGTATGTATGTATGTATGTATGTATGTATGTATGTAGGTGTGTGTGTGTATATGTATGTGTGTGTGTGTATGTGTTTTGTATGCATGTGTGTATGCATGTAAGCGGGTGTGTGTGAATGTATGTGGGTGTGTATGTGTGAGTGGGTGGAGATGTCTATGTGGATGTGTGTGTGTGTGCACGCGAGTGGGTGCATGCATTTTACCAAGCATGTGTCAGTATGTTTTTTCCTTATATTCATATTATTATATAAAAATAACATGCTTTATTGATAAAATACAACTGCTGTGTGAAAGATGGGTGTTTGGAAGGGCCAAATGTAAGATGGGCCCAATTTGTGACCCTTTAAAAAAAAAGTTTGTTTGTTTGTTTTCTTGCTTTAGTTTCTTAGGGAAATTTTAGAGAATACTAACAATGTTTTTTTCTGTACTGAAATTTTTAAAAAAGTAATTTTTTTTAAGATAGAATGACGCTAAATATGAAAAATCAATCTTTTAGTGACTTAAGGGCAGCAGTGATGCAACAGATAGCAGGCTTGTCTGCTCGGTGATCATAGGTTTTCAACACCATGGATTTTTATAAAAACTGACCAAGACTCAAAATTTTGTCTGCTTCCTTTTGCTCTCTTCCTCTAGTTTCTTAGGGCAGTTTTAGAAAATAATAGCGTTTTTTTGTTTTTTTTTTACGAAATTTTGAAAAGGGTAATTTTTTTCAAGATTTTAACGGGCAAAAGTATTAAGCATGACAAATATTTCTTTTTTTCTTCTTGATATTACATCCTTTTCAAAATCTTCATCTCGTCTAATGCCAGAAGCTCTACTTCGTCTTGGGGATTATTTAACATAAACCTCTGTTAGCAACTAAAATCAACTACAATGTTGTATAAGAAACACAGACAAAACTTGATTAAACACTGCACTAGAAGACAAATAGTTACCATATTTGAGCAAGAACTGGCTGGGGCAGACCAGACTGCATTAAGATAGCTCTTGCTTCTACTCCTGAAAAAATGTATTAAAGAGTAAAATATTGAAATTACTATTGAAAAATAAAATATTTATAAGTTTAACCAAAAATATAATCAGACAAAACATAAATTCACTTCATAGTATGATAATAATTATTTCTATCATTCATCATATGCCTTTTTTCCCTTTCATTACAATTCACAGAAAGCGAATCCATTCATTCAATGTCATTTGCACTGTATATTTTTAATATTGGTCAATAAATCGTTATTATGGGTACAAAACAGACTTTCATTCTTTAGAACTCCCTGACTATGCCAGGAATGTAAAGAAAAATGTTTTTTTAAATTTAGTGTGTACATGCACAGGCAAAATCCCAAACTACTCACCAATCCCAAACTACTCACCAATCCTAAACTACTCACCAATCCCAACCATTGACATGCTTGTGCACTTCCCAACCCCCACACACAACATATACCCTGATTTATAAAACACTATGGACTATAGTTTTAGCTGTTTAAATAAAAGAAGCAAAACAAGGATGTAACAACAAACAGACCTAGTAAATACCCTCGTTTGTTTCTGTCATGCATATTAAAAGTCTGGGTGTGTTTCAGCTTGGAGCTATGAGGCAGAGACCATATGCTTCCACTGCTACAGAAGAAATAGAAATCAATCCATTAACACAACAGCATTTTTCATAATTGGTATACCGAACTGATAGCATTAATAATATAATGTTACAAGTAATAATAAAATCTTCTTTGTTCACTGGCTGTAAGCTGGTTGTTCATCAGGCAGACACACTCCGATTTCGAAGGAAGCTTGCTTCCTGACTAGTCAACTCTTATGACATACTTTTCGGAATGGTGGTGGGTCTATTTTTTTCCCCACACAATAGGGCCCAGGAACCCACACAGGGAAAATTAGCATTCATCTTGTTTATATTCCTGGTCCCTATTTTTTTTTGTGGGGGGTGGGGGGGGGAGAAAGGGGGTTTCGGGGAGGGGGGTGAGACGGACAAAACACTGCTCCTTAATAAGCACGTCGCAAAAAGCGACTAACACAGAATTTGCTGAAATTGGATGTGTTGGGTCAAAGGCGCATATATCGCAGCCAATAGGTAAACTACAACATAATGTGTCAACTACTCTTTAACTCTCTCACTGCTACATACCGGTGTGTGCCGCTGTGCGCTAAATAAGGTCGATGCGGAATCTCCTTTGCTGAATACTTTGTGCTCTCCAGCGGTACTGGTTATCTTTTACTTTCCTACAACCACTAATAAAAACCCTAGGGTGTGTGATTGACCCGTGTGCTGACAAGTCAGACACATTATAATGCGGTGAAGAAAACTCGCTGTTACAGAAAGCAAACACCATAAACGAGATTTAATTGCCCAGCTTCCTAGAGGCTGGGGAAAAAAATGTAACCCCATCTTCATCTTTGTTGGTGTATATAAGCTGGGCCTGTGTGTATGTGTTCCATCTGCCACTGTGTGTATGCCTGCTTATGTTGTGTGTGTGAGTGTCACCAATGTGTCTGCAATGTGTGAGTATTTTTGCATGTATATTTGAAGGTATGCATTTGTCTTCCATACCTTTGTATTTTTACTTTACATTCAATCTAGGAATTTTGATATATGAACATAATATGCTTGATATGATTTGATTTGATTTGATTCAAGAACTGACATCACAGCATAATGGCATTCCCATAAGTGCTCCGTCCCCATCTTCAGAAGCCAGCGAAGAGTTCCGATACCAATGGTGCCATTCTGATTAAACGTCTGTCTTGCCTTTCCTCTGAGCCTCGAGCATCTGTCAGAACCTCTTGTCACCCCCAACTGCATCAATCTCACTAGACAGTGGTGATCCATCTGCTCCTCCGAATTGTACACGCTCTCCCACAAGGCACTAACAACATCTGCCCTATCATGTATCAATATTCCCCCAAGTTGCGCAGAGCCAGCCAGTCTGTCCACCTGTTCATTTCCCAACACAGCGGCGTTTTTAAAATATGCTTGATATATAAAATACAACTGCTGTATGAAAGATGAATGCTTTAAACGGTCGAATGTAAAACTGGTCTCTGTAAGCAACTTGTAACCCTTTGGAAATAAAGTATGTTCATTCTCTGACACTGCTATAAATGTATGTAGTAAAAACTCCATAGAGGAGCAAGCAAAACAAAAGCCTTCCGATCATCAGAAGAGGTCCCACTTCTTTAAATGTTTCCAGCCCTTTACTTTACGTACAGGAGGATAGTGCACAAAAAAAAAACTTTATTCTCCCATCCTCTACTGGACAAAATCAAGAAATGGATGAACAGCAGTCTGAGAGAGGGTACAACCAAGACAAGAGACAGGGCGTGCTGAAGATCCACTGCAGCCAACCTTCAATGTGGAGATGGCTCCTGATTGACTGATGGTGTCATCTTTGTCTCCACAGCTGCTGTACTCACTGCCCCTAAGTGCACCTGGGGCTCTTACTGCCTCCTGGCTCCTTCCCCCACACCACAAATTTAACTTATGAAGCTACCACCCCTCAACTGCCCCAGCACCTCCAAGGGGGTGGTAGCACTCACTATGGGAACCACTGTTCTAAAATATATAGATATGATGGTAGAAGATTAGCACTTACCTTGACGGTGGACCTGAGTTTGGGGCTGCTGCAGAAATTGAAAAGAACCATAATAAATAAACAAACAATTATCTATTGATTTATCAAGCCTTCTTCTTCTTCAGCATTCTGGATCCCTTGAGGTTCATTGTTGCAGATATCACCCGCCTCCATTCATCATGCCTAACACACATCTTTCATACTACTGTTTAGCAGAAATATGACAAGCTGACTTGTATATTTGGCTTAAACACATACATGTTTTGTTTTGTTGGATACATGGCAGACAAAAGCATAAGGAGGCAGCATATGCCCCAGTAGACTGCCCAGCCTCACATGCTCAGGGTTACTGGTTACATGTAGAATTTACTATTACAAATGCCTTAACCATAAAGCATGACATGTCAGTTTAATAAGTCAAAAGTTTGGTTTTACAAAAGTGTCCCACTATCAACTAAGCTCTGTGGCTTCTCATAAATTTAATCTTAGAAAATGAATGCAGTAACTTTTCCTTGGCTTTCCTTTTAAAATAAGAGATTTACATCGTATAAACATACTTTATGAGTTTCTGTTTTTCTTCTACTGCTTTCACATTTAAAAGAGTGGTTAGCAAACCCTTAGCTGACTCAGCATGCTTGTTAAGAGGTAGTTTTTCTATTCAACCCCCCCCCCCCCCACAGGGAGCACTGGAACCAATACAGAGAGGCCACTTTTCTAATGTGTATATGTTTGCCTAGGCTAACATCAAGCTATAAATTAATGTTCCATTAACATCTAATGACATCCTAGCCATGGTAGCAATTGGCTAGTGTGCTTGCTTCTTGGTATGTAGTTACACATTTGTTCTTCTCCTTCTTCCTATTTTTTTCCTTTGTGTTCAACAGATGAAAACTCTGGGAAAAAGTTTTGGTTGTTCACTTCTGGACTTTGGTCTTGTTCCAGAACTTTTCTGTTTTACAGATCTGGCTTATTTGTAAGCAGACTGCTGGTTCCTTGCCTCTCAGGCAGATGCACTCCACCTTGAAAGGAATCACCTCTAATTAGCTGCCTTTTACAACATGACTGTTAAGACAGCAATTCCCCCACCCCAACAAAAAAATGGGGTCCCGAAACCCACGTAAAGGTGAACTTTTAAAACTGACCTAGCCTTTCAGGTCGACTCAGTCTAAAAATGGGTAAAAGAAAATGTTTTGGAAAAGTAAACACTGAGCATATGGAATGATACTGATCACAATACCGACTGAGTGTCAATTGTTCTACAAATGTATGAGGCTATCATCATATGCCCAATTCATCCCAAACTGTGCAAACAGATCTTTTATTTACTTTACTAGTCAGAGACAGAGTCACCAAAGAATTAAGAAAAATGGTAGGCACAGTATCAGTGAATGATTTCATAGTAGCAAAGAATTCAATGGCTGGTCATCTGGTCAAAATATAACAAAATCAGCCAGCAGCTATGGTGTACAACATGAGAATAGCCGGCTACACGGCAAGATGCTGACTAAGAAAGAGATCAGTGGAGACAGTAAAAGAGATGCTACAGAAACGCAATATGAAATTAACATATGCTATGCAACTACATAGAAAGAGAATAGGGGATTTTGAGCTGAAATGCTATAGAAAGATTCTCAGAATATCTTGGACAAAGAAGAAATACTGACATCTTGAAAGATCTGAACATCAAGGAAGATTGGCTAATAAACAGCATCTTGTCTCTGACGCTGAAATATTTTGGTCATATCAAGCGCCATGACGGATTGAAAATAATTATAGCAGAAGGCATGGTACCAGGAAGGAGGGGTATTGGCCGCCAGATATGAAGATGGGCACAGGATATAAGTGACTCCTTGAGTATGAAATACATGAGGTGGGAGAGTTGGCAAGGGACTGAGTTTCTTTCAGGCAGACTGTGATGAGAGCGACGTTCTGCAAAGGGCCTGCTACATGATCATGATGCAACTAGCAAAAGACAGGACACCACATTTAACTCCTCTATGCGATGCTTTTTTACAGCAAAAGCAGTAGGACAAAAGAAGAAATATACTAGTTGACATTTTCTTTATTAAAATATACAAAATTTAAAACAGGGAATGTCTTTCACATACCTGTAAGAGAAATTGTTCCAGTTAAAGGCACAGTAACTATACCCCCCTGAGCAAAGTTTCCAGTGACACCATTAGCCATGCGAGGTCCCAGTCCTAACGACCCAGTTGTCATGGTAGCTGTGCCTAGAGAGGCCTGGGGTTGCATGAGAGATGCTGAGAACACTGATGGTTGAATGCCTTTACAGAGCAATCAAAGACAGAAGTAACCTCATATCACTGATACTTTTATACTCGTATCTAGAGGGGTTATCAATGGGTACAGATATAGAACTACAAGGTTTTGTTTATTTCACTCAAGTAGTCAGTTAAAAAAACAGACTGCTTCATCACGTCAAAGTACCAAAATACAACACATATATTTCAAAGTGCTGTTAATTGGGGAAGAATAAGGTGTATAATGGAAAATGACTGGTCAAATTAACCAAAAACATCTAGTACTGTATATGTATTACGTTGATGTACATATGCTATACAGTTATCTTTATCTCTTCATAAAAGTTAAGTAAGTTTAACCCACTGACTACCAAGCTCCTTAACCCTTTCATTTTATCAGATACCATGTATTTTTGTGTGTACTAAAAATGCCATAGCTTCACAACTATTTGATATAATCACACAATATTTTGTATTGTTGCACCAAATTGAATAAAGAACAAATTTCAACACACAAAAAAGATCTTTATTCTGCTTTGCATCATCATCATGTGGCTGTAGATTGGTGCAAAAAGGCAACCGAAAAATCTTTTATCTGACAACAATAAAGACTAATAAAAATGTCATATCTTCAAAAAATATTCAACTAACATTTATCATATTTTGTATTTTTGCACAAAATTGAACTGAGAACACATTTGAAGAAAAAAAATGGGGTTTACTTTGTCTGAAATAATTATCATCATCATGCGGCCGTAGATTGTTGCAAAAAAAAGGCAACTGAAAATCTTTTATCTGACAACAATATAGAGTAATAAAAACAATAAAGACTAATAAAAATGTCATATCTTCAAAAAATATTCAACAAACATTTATTATATTTGGTATTTTTGCACAAAACTGAACCGAGAACACATATGAAGGGGACAAAAATGGGGTTTACTTTGTCTGAAATAATCATCATCGTCACGTGGTTGTAGAAAACTAAAAAAAAATCCTTTATATTTATCATAGTCATAGCCATCAACTGTTCAGTAGTGTCTTCAAATTCACTTTGAAGCAAAATAAAGAAATTCACAGGCATCATCAGAAACATTAGGAGAAATATGACCACCACGACGGTTCTGAGAATTTGACGCCATAATGAAAATTGCATCAATGTCTCACCGAAAATACGTTAAATATTTACTTTTAGCACTACAAATTTATTTCCCTTAATTAATCATACAGAAGTGAATAAGCTGAAGGCTCAAACTAAATTCATCATAAAAATCACAATTTTAACATGACCGCGAGCGTCCAAAGCTACAATCGCAAGGGGTGCGACCTTGGCAGCAAGAAGTAAACATCGTCTCGTCGCAAAACATGCGATGCTGGTAGTCAGTGGGTTAAGACAAGTGGTACACATCATTAACATATCTGGAATCATCTTTTATAAGTTAATGTGGCTTAAAAGTTAGTGAACGAGTTTAACAGTTTCATGATCTCAGAGTATTAAGGTTCAAATTGGATGATGGAAAGTTCATTCTTTAAAAAAACAAAAAAACTTGTGGTCTTTGGATGGCGGTAGGAAATCGCACTGTGGACACATTTGCCGCCTCACCACACAATTTTATCAAAGACAGCAGGGTACACTGCAGCCGACCTTTGCTGTGAAGATGGCACACAGATTTTTTTACATGTAATCCATGCTTTTTATTTCTCACACAGTTGAGTAATATAATGGCAGTTTGTAATAGTACCAATCATGCAATTTTCTAATGGCAACAGATGAGAATAAGAAACTTAATAATTAAATAAAACTCACCTCCCAATGGGAATCCCATCCCCATTGGTTGGACAACAGGTGCACCTATGGAGGGCTGGGCAAAAGAGCCAATCACAGGAATTGGGTCAGCCTTTAAAGATGCAGGCAGCACTTTAGGTAACTCATAACCTTGCAATTTCTTCTTGATAAGATGCATGGCTATAGAAAACTCTTTCTTATCCATTTTCCCATCTCCATTGATATCGGCTAAGTTCCTGTAAGACAAAATATTATCATCAGTAATTAAGTTAAGGAAGCTAAATGTGAAAGGAAGCATGAAAACAAAGTTAATCACTCCTGCAAAATTTACAGTAAAGGTAATTCTATGTCACATACCAATGTTAGTTTGTGAAGTCACACGCCTTAACATAAACTGCATCACTTTTAAAAATATGGTTATTAGATTCCGTCTTCATTACCTTACCTCACCAGACAATTATAAATATTATGTACTAGCTATTCTAAAAGACTGGCATAAAAATGGGAAAATAATTCAATCTAATCATTTCTGGGTATTGATTCTGATTATTTTATTTGTAAGCAAGGCTCCCCAAAACTATATACCATGCCTCGATATGTTACTCTCTATTCTCTATTCCCCCCTTCTTATTAGCAAACAAACATGTATAAACAATGAAACTGTCAAGTGCGGGTGAATGAGAGGCAGGACAGGTCAGTTAATGAATGTTATGTTATGTTATGCTTTCTTATCACAATCGGCGTCTTTGCAAACTGGGCATCCCCATGCGTGCTCAGTTAATTTCTTGTCTTGTCAATCCACTGTTAAATCACAAGAAGACATGTTTTGTTCTCTGTGCTAGTTCACACCTTACATCCAGATACTGTTGGGAACTGAAGCCTGTGTCCTAGTGACAAGGTAGCTGTACTAGCTAATGACAGCCTGTCATTGCAGTGTTGTAAATTCACCCATTTCTTGATATTCCCCATGACGTTTTTCATCAACTCTCCCTAAAGTTGTAAGTATACAGTGATAATTTACTTGTTTTATTCTCCAATCACCTTAGCCTTTCTTTGTAATGGTAATTTAATTGTTTTATTCACCAATCACCTTAGCCTTTCTTTGTAATCAAAACATTAAGCTGTCCCTGCAATCTGTTTGATGTTATAATTTCTTTGTATATCTCTTCTAATGAGTGTTATTAATTATAATTTTTAAAGTTTCAATGCTTCAACTCTATTTCAATACTTTAAATGCTAAACAGATAAAAATACACATTACATCAAAGGTTAACTATGAAAAGCAGTCTTTTAAATTTAATCTACATAAAAAGAAGTCAAATATTCACCTGTTCAAAAACAGTTCATACTTTCTTAAAACAATCTTGTGTTTAAACAAACACTAAACAAGTAACTGAAATTATCTTTAGCAAACCTCCACATCAATAGAAACAGTGCTCCACGTAATTTAGCAACACAACAAAAACTGCATGTATTTTAAAATCTTTTAAAACATACAGATATTTAAACAAATTAAACCACAGATTTTCTAGGTTTATGTTATGATTTTTTTTTTCTCCTGAGTAATACCTTACCATATCTGTCCTAAAACCTGTGTTGGCAAGCCTGACTGCATGAAGAAATCCCTAGCTTGTGTACCTGCCAATTTAAAAAAAGAAAATAAAACTATAGTTTTTGACTCTGAAAATTACAAACTAGCTAAAGTACCAACAACTTTTAAATTAAAAAAAACATATACACATGCTTAGACAAAGCATAACATAATCAATTTTAAAGTGATGTAAAGTTTACGCACATAATTCTTGTTTGTATAGCCACAGAAGAAAAGGTATAGTAATGTATTCCATTAATGATACTGAGTTGCAGAGGATAGAATGGAATGGAAGAATAAACTGGAAGCTTTATGAGGCAATCAACAGCACAAAATAATGATGACAACAGTTACAGACAGAAACAACATGGATGCATTTAAAATAAATGTAGCACAGAGCAGTAGTGTCCCAACATTTTGACATCTGCAAAGAGTGACAGAGTAGGTGCGTGTATGTGCAGGTGCAATGACATCTGCCTTTACTAACTGCTGTATTTACCACTTTGCGGTGGGGGACTGAAAAGGGTGTGGGGGAGGGGGGTGCTTTGAGTCTGACATCATCTCTACTTAATCAACCAAAACCATGTACAGGATCATTTGTTTTGTTTAAACACCAGATTTTCTGTAGATATGGCACGTGATTAACAAGGAAACAGCCATTTTAATTCTTGTTTTCTTTTCTTTTCCCTCCAGCATTAAAACCTGAAAAACTGACACCCAAAGATTCAGAGAGACTTTTTGGATGCAACTATAACAGGTGCAGATCCCGGACACCTTGTCCAACTATATAAAAAAGTTTTGTTGTGACACTCAGTACTTACAAATTAACCTAGTGTCATGTCTTATATGTATCGGGGATCTGTTCCTAAGCTCCAAACCTTCCTGATGGAACTGATTACAAGTGCTGCATGGATTTTCATGTCAAAGGGCACTATTTTTCTCTATGACCGCTCCATTTGGTATGGCAAGGTATGGAGTGGTAGTTGAGTGACATAGTTACAAGACACACTGAAACTTTCAGTAGAGTTTTAATTGAGGCCAACAACAGTTTATTCCACTCTTTTAATAACCTACCTTAACATTAAATGTCCCATAAGCTCCTAAACTAATGAAAATGTGGACATGGATGGTAAAACAGCTCTGCAGCATGCACCGTACAAACAGGCTGAACAAAAGTTGTCAAATTTATACAGAGGAGACCATAATGCTAAAATTGTACCACTATCATTAGCATGTAGCATGTTTTTTGCAAGATGTCGCTCTCATTATAGCATGCAGGAAAGCCACTTAGTCCATTGCCAACTGCCCCACCTCATGAACTTTTGTGACCCAAGATTTTCTTGATATCCTGTGTTCACCATCGTGCTGGTCTACCCTTGCCTTTTCTCCCCGGATGCACCCATCCCATTACTGTTCTCTCCAAACCATTAGAGTGTTTAACTCAGTTAGTCCCAGTAAACTCACCATGTGTTTACTGATTACTCCTTACATGATATGCCTTTTCCAGACACTTTGTTCCCCAAGTAGCTGTTAAAATATAATTTGTGTTAACACAAATGCTACTTTAAAACTGATGGTGCCTTAGTGTGGATCAAAACAATTATTAATGCAGGTAAACAATACCTAAGAATCAACGAGTTATGTGATACCTGTCTGACAATGAAAGAGTTAACAAACACAGCAAACAGTTGTTTCCCTGGCCACTACGAGGCTTTGTATGGCCAATAGGTTGGCAGGATAATAGGACCAGTGCTCGTCAGTAAAGGTCAACCTCACAATGTTTTTCTAATGCAATATGTGTCACAAGATTACAAACCTGTAACAAATCCATTCACTGGTTTTAGCTGAAAGAATTGAGCATCATGTTTGGATCTGTCTTCCCCAGTTACACGCCATGTATCTAAGAATAAAAATACATCAGCCTATGATATTAAATCATCTAGGCTAATATTATAGTTAAGTCATATTAAGGAAGACACAAGATTTATGTGAAATTGTAAAACAGCTGCTTAATAATAATCTATATTCAATCACATTGGTACAGAAAATATATTGAAATAAATACTGATGACCTTTGATTTAAAATGTCAAATTAGTACTGCTTTATGGATCAGAAACATGAAAAAAGGACTCAAATGCTGAGTTGAGTTAAAAACTGGCTATCATAGCACTCAGAACATTCCCATGAGCACTTTGTCCCCACCTTCAGCAGTTAGCAGAGTTTCAATTCTGATGCCATCAGTATCAGTCTAATTGTCAGTCCATCTTGCCTTTCCTCCGAGTGTTGAGTTTCCCAGCCAGATCTTCTGATTACTCCCCAGTCCATTATTCTCTCCAGATCAGAATGACAAATGTGTGCATATGCACTTCTCAATTGCTGCAAGAACCTTGATCATATTCTGCTTGTTTATGAACCATCATAACTCAATTTTTTACAAATAAACTATAACAGTTTATTAATTAGTGCCTGTCCAAAGCTAAGAGAGTTAAACAGCATCACTATTATGAAGCTTTAATAAGCAAACTAAACAAATCCCAGTGAATTTTTTTTTTAACACTGAAGAAAAGACTGACACAAATATGGCACATGCTAAACATTTTAATTTTTTTTTATAGAATAACAAGAAAGTCTTTCCACAAGCACACATGGCATAAGTGCAATAGATGGAAATCTAATAAGACACAGAAAAAAACAAGAGACAGAGATGTTTAACGCGGTCAAGACTGAATGAACAAACCAATTTTATTTTTAAAGGGTTAAAGTTTTGGCACACAGGCCCGACTAACATACTGCCCTTCTAATCTACTTCCTTTCATACATCATTTCATCCAATACATCTGTTGATCAGTAAAAGTAAACATTATCAGCTAAATATTAAATACATGCACTGGAATGTGCTAAAATTGCACCTACATTCTAACCACAATAAACTATAATAATTGTAATAAATCTAGGGGAAATATACTATTTCTAAAATCCTTTTTTCTTTTAAGGGGGCGGGTAATCTGTGCTCAGATAATATTTGAATATGGTTATGGAAGGAGCTACAACAGAAGCAAAGGATAGAAGGTCCATCTTTAGAAGGGTCTGGTGACAATTAGTTGAGAGCCTATGCTCCACTGAGAGATACAAGGTTGAAGGGGAAGCATTGTGACTTTTTTAATCTATCTGCCTATCTACCAACCTACATATCTATCTCATCATCCGCCAACCTCCCTACCTATCTCATCCCCCCCCCCCAATCATCACTTTCTATCTGTCTTTTCTTCTTTCTCTCCCAATGCATGTGTATGTGCTTAGGAAGAAATCAGGAAAAGCATTTGCTAGAGTGCAAATTCTATAGTTCAAACAGTCATTCTGATTTTCCACAAATTTATCAAATAAACTATGGCAGAGTTCATAATTCAGGATGACATCTTCAAAACGAGTAACGCATTAAGGTTTAAAAAAATATATATATATAGGTGTTACTACATGAGATACTATTGTTGGGGTGTGAACCACCAGGCTCTAACACATTCTAGACCAAGGTCACTAAACTGTTGACCTGTAGGCTGAACCAGTCACAGAGTCCAAGCCATATGGCCTACCGATCATTGCCACTTGTATTATTGATCTTTGTAAGACTTAGTTCAGGTCACTGGCCTGTGACGACCTCTATTTTCAATATTTTGTCCCCTGAGTATACTTAGTTGAATAGCCCTATTATAGGCCATGACATGTGAGGTGGGGTGTGAGATGATAGGCTTTCACACATTCTAGGCCATGACATGTGAGGTGGGGTGTGAGATGATAGGCTTTCACACATTCTAGGCCATGACATGTGTGGTGGAGTGTGAGATTCTAGGCTTTCACACATTCTAGGCCATGACATGTGTGGTGGAGTGTGATATTCTAGGCTTTCACACATTCTAGGCCATGACATGTGAGGTGGGGTGTGAGATGATAGGCTTTTACACATTCTAGGCCATGACATGTGTGGTGGGGTGTGAGATTCTAGGCTTTCACACATTCTAGGCCATGACATGTGAGGTGGGGTGTGAGATGATAGGCTTTCACACATTCTAGGCCATGACATGTGTGGTGGAGTGTGAGATGCTAGGCTTTAACACATTCTAGGCCATGACATGTGAGGTGGGGTGTGAGATGATAGGCTTTCACACATTCTAGGCCATGACATGTGAGGTGGGGTGTGAGATGATAGGCTTTCACACATTCTAGATCATGGCATGTGAAGTGGGTGGCCAGTTTCTTACTCTTCTGAACCTGGTAATTATATGGAATTTGGACTAGTCATTTTTATGATGGTAGGTTGACCTCAGAGCAGTACTGGTAGGAATAACATCCTGCTACCTTTTGGGATTTAATCATCAGAAAACAAAACTAATGATCCTCCTGAACTGTTGACCCAAATTAAAGATAACACAATCTCATTACATGCTCTACTGTAAAAAATAAAACACATTTGCTATTAACTACAAAAAGGGCCTATTCAAATATTGCACACACACTAAACAGAATGATGCATAAATAGTGTTTGATATGTACTATTAACATGGACAAAGAAGATCAGAAATACTGGCATTTTAAAAGACCTAAACATCAAATAAAATTGGCTAATAAACAGAATCATGTCTCAGAAGCTAAATTATTCTGGTCATAAAAAGCGCCATGGCGGACTTAAACAAATAATAATAACAGAGGGCATGGTACTAGGAAGAAGGGGCAGGGGCTGACCAACATAAAGATGGGTGCAGGATATAAGTGATTCCTTGAATGTGAAGGTGCAAGAGGAGAGAGAGCAAGTTTCTTTCAGGTAGTATATGATGGGAGCAACGGTCTGCAAAGCACATGCTACATGATGAAACATGAACATGAAAGTGAAAGATACTTAAGTGACTGTTTTTCTCTAATTGTTCTTGCCATTAACCTATTAATGTTCTTTTGAATTACTTGCCTTGTGGACCAGCCATTTCTGTTTTCTGTGTTACTGACTAAAAATATACCAGTGCTGAAAACAAAACAAAAATATTTCAAATTCAGCTCACCTAAGCATGCACACACACATATATTATACTGTTTAAAATAAGAAACGCATAGTTATTAGATGGCCCATAGTTTTTAGTTGACAGGAAAACCTTATGCCCAAAAACTATTGATGATGCAGATGCAAAAGAACTGTCAACTGACTGAAAGATACTTGACACTAAATTAAACTACTCGCTAAAATATTCTTTGATTACATAAGCCTTGCTGTTTGACCACCACATCACAAGTAACTGAGTTTCCTGCATGTGATGTTTCTAAAGGGCTCTCTGGTTCTCATAGTGGTAGATCAGTAGAGGCTCTAGTTTGCAATCCACACCTGCAGGCTACAGAACAAGAGAGCCTGTTCTTTACTTGCTTGTGCCCTGGCAATGCTTACTCCTGCAGTGTAATATATAGGTCTTCCTTTTCTTCGAAAATAAGAAACCTTGTTGGAAAACAAATCCTTATATTCCATACAAAACTGTATCAAAATCCTTGGCACCATCTTTATCAGCACTGGTTTCTTCATCATGCCTCACAACACTGTGAAATCAAGTTCTCTTAAAATTATCAAACCAGTCAACAAGGATAGCGGGTGGGTCATGAATCATTTTGACTCATACAAGATCTAGCATGTGAGTCGTATTCCAAACGAAACATTACGTGTCTTAACAGAACACATACCAAGTTAGACTTAATAGAAAGAGGATTGTACAGTGAGGTACCATGGTACATCAACAAGGTAGCTAGAAGATCTTTTTTTTTTCTGACAACACCGCCCTTCAGTTCCACTCAAGGGCAGCACCATAGCCCAATATGCTTCAAAGCAAAGAAACTTACTGTTTACTATATGCTTTTATAGAGATTATATCATATATGTTGATAAATATATTGCAATGTTATTATTATTAATCTATACACCCTGTGGTTGATCCCAGTGCTACTCTTTGTAAATAAAGTGCCGATCATGCAAAAGTGAAGGTCCTCTTCAGTTGTTTCAGTTACCCATAAATGAAGTTTGCATCTGCTGGAGAAGCTGTAGCAGTTTTATACTGATGACTGAAAGTCCAGGATAGTTAAAGGGAAGGAGGTAATCGTTTCACGCAGAAAAAATAAAGGACCCTTCTCATGCTAATAGCATGTACCAGGCCCATATTTTTATAGACAAATTGGCACTTGATGGATGATGCTGTTAACATTTGTTACCAGGAATTTTTCTCACAACCATTTTAAGCCAGTTGGACCTGGGAGCTAAGGTTGTTTATTTTTTAAAAAATTTGCTTAAATGCAAGTTTGAACCCACAACCACTAGGGTCAGTTAAGTTTGAACCCACGACCATTGGGTCAGCAGGCAAGAGTCTAACCACTGTGTTACCACATCAATGAAGTTGACAAGAAAGTGAATAATGCCTCAGTTACTCTCAGCATCTTATCCAGATAGTATATCAAGGACTGATTCTAGTATGCCCTGTTAAAACTGCCTTGATGCATACTATACTATCTATCTTGACTCTTTGAGTCCCAGAGGGTTTAGCATTACAGGCCCGAGGGGCAGTAAAGACAGACATAAAATCAGTGCATCATACGTTCATTGGGCTTCTAGGTAGAAACCTATGAACTTATGATGTGTTCCTTGAGACTCAAAGAGTTAATGCAATAATAATATTAGTATATTGTCTTTGTTTATACAGTTATGCCATATATGCATAGCACTATCATGCTAGATTACCTTTTAACACTTATGAATTATTCTTTATAGCCTAGTTTATAATGCCAATTGTGGTACACTTTATGCAGAAGATGACCTTTCATATATTAAAGGTAATTAAAGGACACACTTTGCATAAAGTAAAAGTGTGGTAAACATGACTGAAATAGTACCCCCTACCAGCGCACCTGCTGTAAGTGTAACTGTAGCAATCTCTGCGCCTGTAGCTAGTGACCTAACAATTACAGTTAATGAATAATATTAACGGATGAAGATAAGAATGTCAATGTTATTGTTTCTAATCTGATGGTTGATGGTCCAATGAACAGTAAGCTGTGATCATGGGTTTCAGAAAAGATCCTTTTAAAAAAATATCAATACATTATAAATAAAATTTAAATACAGTTGTGCATATTACTGATTTGGTAGTAATAGTAACGGTTTAAATTAAATCTATTTTAAAAAGCAAACAGTAATTTTAATTTAATTATTTATTACTACAAATAGTATTACTTATTTATTATATAATTTTTACACCAATTCCCCATTTCATTGGAACCCTCACATACATTGACATCAAAAACCTACATGAACAATCAATTTACCTGCAGGTACACTGACCACTGTCCATTCATTCCGCTTCAGTGAATACGCTGGTTCGAGTGTTTTAATCCATAGCAACAAAATCCTTGAAAGATCATGTGAACGCGATGATTATCATCATCATTCCCAGTCAAGTAGATGGCCTAGCAGTACTGGACACATACAATTTCACAGGTGGATTCTGGGTACAGAGGGGGCGTTTCCGGAAACTCACTAATTTATGAATGGAGCAGTGTTACAGTTCCATAAGCTGAGTGAGGGGTGGCTGCCGGTGAAGTGTTTTAAACTGCTGCATGGGATAATATGTCTGGACTGTAATAATATTTTCGTAGGCTGTGCTTGTTGGAGGATTGGGGTTCTTTTTTTAAAGCCTCTTGCTGTCAGCGGTTTGAAATATGCGAATATTGACAGGAAATTTTATGGGAACGGACACCTCCGTTTCCATCGACGAGGTTGTTTTAATATTTATTTTATTATTATTGTATAGTTGTGGCTGTGATAAAAAATTAAAACAGATTTGCTATAGGATAGGCAATAACAATATAGCTAGCACACACACACACACACAAAACTCTACCACTAACCACTTCAGTGAAAAAAAAAAAGTAGTCAACTGCGGTATCCGTCCAGAATCTGTTATTATCAGTTATATCACCAATCATGTTTTTCTTAATCCAGATGTTTCTCATTCTAGGAAGCCAAACACTTTTGAAACAGTCTTACATCTCTCTTGATGTTTTATTAGTTTTAACTCCTGCTGTTTAACACTTCAGCTTTGTTTCTGTCAAACAGTAGGGACCTTAACCCCTTCCCAGTGCTCAGTGAATGTGGATCGGATTTTATTTTTCTGATGAGAGCAACCAATTTAATTTGGGGATTGTATTTCTTTTTCTTTAAGCATTTTATCTGTCTATTGTATTGTCATCTTTTCTTCTTATTATTCAGTAGTCCTATGTTGCCTTTTGGCATCAGGTTTTGAAGAGGTATCAGGTGAGAACCTTGGAATGTGCTACATAGATGCTTGTGTTTACAGCCTTGGCTATCCCATCTGTCCATCACATGTGTTGTCGACCTCATTATTCTGTAAAACTATTATTCCCGAGTAATTTCTCACAAATATGTTCTCTGTAATTTACTTCCATAAATCGGAATTGGTTATATATACATCTTTTTCTAGGTTGCAATATTTGTGCCTTTTGACCCAGCATATTAAATTTCAGCAAACCCCTACTGTGTTGCCTTTTATGACATATTTGTTGGAGGCAGTGAGTCTCTTTTCTCACCCAAGAATGGGTCCTTAGAACCCACAAACAGATGATTGTATAGTGTTCACCTATGTATGTTCAAGGATATTCTACAGGAAAAGTGTAGGGTGAGTAGTTTCCAAGAGGCAAAACAATGTTACATGTGGGTAGACAATATCAAGAAATGAACTGAAAAATGGCATTCATGAGGATAGAGGACAGATGGTGCTGGAGATTTATTGCACAAACATTCAGTGTAGGTGATGATGATGATGGATATATATGACCAACTCATAATTCTGGAATTGTTGCAAAGAAATAAATATTCAGTCAGTGCATAATATAATAATGTAAACTGAACAACCAACTTTTATCAGACTACAGGTTACGGTGTTAACTACAGAGTTTCTCAATATAACTGTGTTATATCACTGAACAGGATTTCAGGGATTTGCACCTGTTTGATTTTCATCCATAAGGTGTTAATCCTACAAATGCAATCAGTCCTGGATGGAGAAGGGGAGGTGGGACATTAAAACAAAATAACAACAATTACTGGTCAGATAAAGGACAATATAAAAGGCTTGGCACTACAGTGCAGACCAGAATGTATTTGGTCACTCAGAACACTGTAAACTCATAGTACTTCTATATTATTTATGTATACTATCATTTAATTCCCTGGCATTAAAAAAACAGTTTTCTGGTTTACATCTTTATTGCAATCTTGCACTTTATTTGTTTTTATGTTTCTAGCTTAGTGCAGCCACTGTTTTAAAAAAAAACACCTGTAGCTCTTGATTTGTGTATTATATTTTTTAATGTAATAAGTCATAATTATTAATATATTATTCTTTTAACATGTAGTTCTTTTTCTTCTTTTGTCCAATTGATTATTCTGTGAAGTGTCACAGAGAGAACTTAGATGTAGTTTCCTGTCTTTTGCTGGTTGCATAGCTTGTGTTAGTGTGATTTTGTATTTCTTTAGTGTCTAATTTACTCCATCTGCTTATCTCTTTCTTTGCCACCCTCTTGTCTTGTAGCCTGCTGTTCTCATGAAGTACACACTAGCTGCTGGCTGATTTTGTTCCATTCTAACCAGATGACCAAACCATTTGGTTCTTTGATGTTCCTTGAAATCATTTACTGGTCATTACCTACAATTGTTCTAAAGTTTATCGTTCATGGCTCTGTCTTTTATTTTTTTTGCACCACATTTCTCATTCATCTCGTCTCACGTGTTATGATTTTGCATTCATGTTTTTCAAGGACTATCCACATCTGGCATTGATAGCACAAAATTGGTGCAAATAGCGCATTTATCAGCTGATGTTTTGTATCCATTTGGATATTCTGATACATATAGTTAGCACCATGAAAAACGATTGTTTTCATAAAGCTTTAGCAATGTCAAGAATCATAGTTAATTTCTATGAATATCAGTCTTGTCTTGTCTTGTCACAAGACAAGACAAGACTGATATTCATAGAAATTCTTGACATGAATGTCAGTAAAAACTGAAAATTTATTCTCTTCACATGTTATCATTATGGGCTTTGCCATAAGTATGAGTGATCAGGATTCACCAGCTAATTCAGTCACAAACATAAACATAAATAGTACACTTCTGGCTAATTTGACTTTTTGAAAATAATATTATGGTATTCTTTTAGCAAGACACCCCTGAAGTTGGACCTTATGAAATCTTAGTACAAGTAAAAGCATGTAGCTTGGATTTGCATAATGAAAAGGTGAGCAATAACAAGGCTGTAATTAGCTTCTGTTGATGTAAAAACAAGATCATTATGTAGTCTAATTCTTCTTCTATAGCACTCCGGACCTTTGATGTTCAGTGCTGGAGGTGTCTGCCTCCCTCTCTGTAATTCTGTGATTGGCCTTTTTTTTTTTCCAACTGTTGCTTCCAAGTGTTAATAGATCTACCTGTGTATTTTCTGTCTACAATGTTATGTGGTGTGATTGTATCTATTTCAAATAATTGCATTAATATTATTGTTAAATATATTTCTTTTGAAATATTACATTTGTCAGATGTGTTTTTTTTTTTAAAGCAAATTCACACATAAATTAATGTATAATGTACTGATCACAATGATTTGGTCAAGTTCTGAGAGTATATTTATGTATAAATTAAATCATCATAGTGAAGGCAGCCTTTGACATAACATTTCTTTCATCATGGCCTGCCAGAATCCATTGCCAGTGAAGTTTTGCCCTACTAGATGCAATTTCATGCTCAGGGTCTTTTTAATGGCATTTGTCCACTTTTAGCAACCTGGCCTACAATGGGAATAAGGCAATGTCCTGGAAAGTAAAAGTGGTGGACATAATGTTGACCACATCACCCACCAAGTGCTGACTGGTCTAGCATCATGCGCCTGATGCACGACTGCCATAAAAAGGGTCCTTTACTTTTCATTTACTTTATGTTCACTTTTATGTTGGTCAGCCCCTGCCTTTTCTTCCATTTACCATGCTTTCTATTACTGTTCTGTATACACATTAATAAAGACAGGCTAAACTTGCATTTTATCAAATCAAGAAAATTTTACACAATAAATTCATGTCGTTGGAGGTAAGGACAAGAATTCTTGCATGCTCTATGGAGACAGTTTTAACATATGACTTTGAACCCTTGACAATTAATAAACAAGACAGAACATTTTTTGAGGTATCCGATGTAGTTTTACAGAAGAATCCTTAGAAATCCTAGGACAGCAAAAAGTAACCCAGACATTTGTAAAGAGGTGAAGGCTGGAAGACAACTTATCACAAACATCAGAAAAAGACAGTTGCTATTTTTTTTTGGTGATGTTATGAGAAGAAGGCCACTGGAAAGATCTGTGGAAAAAAAAGAGACAGAGGAAGACAGTGTAAGAGGATTCTTGACAGCCTTTTTCATGGCATGGAATCATGTCAACACATGAATGGAAACATGCTGTTAAAGATCGCAGATTGGGGAGAGGCATGATTGCCCACAGCAGTCAAGAAGACACTTGATGATATTGATGATACCCATGTATCAATTCAATATTTGAATGCAGTTTTTGAAATAGTTCTAGCATTATATTTTGGTTAATTTACCTAAGTTTTCATGTTGCCCTAACTTTTGATTTCGTTTTAAGAAATGTTCTGGAAAGTAATAGTTGGAATTTTAGTAAAAGTAAATTAAAGGTAAAGATCCCTTTTCATGCCTTAGGCGTATCGGGTATATGGGAAGAGCGTTCCATATTTTTACAGACCATTCGGCACTGGATGGGTAATGTGGTCAGCATTACGCCGGCCGTCTTTACTTTCCTAGGACAGCCATCCTGATACCCATTTTAGGCAGGGTCGACCTGTGACTCCCCATACAGTGATAAAAATCTGCACAGCCAGCAGTGGGTTTCGATCGCTGTACGTTAGATTACGAGTTGGACTCACAGCGCCTAAGCCACGGACGCCGCAGTTGGAATTTTACCATATCATATATTTAATGTCAATCAGCTGTAAGAATATGGAGCTAGCATCTTATGCCCAATACTCTTCAAGGCATAGAAACAAAATCCTTACATATAGGCCACAGGTACCAAGATTTTTTTCAGAATTATCTGGCAAAATGTTGAAAAATACCAGAACACATTATGCAGTGTTTGGGATTTCCAAGAATGAGCAGTTAACACATCACAAGTTGCTTGGAACTGAAAGAGTTAATCTCCTCAAGGACTGCAAAACACACTTGATTTAAATGTACTTCTTTTAGGCATACCACCAGCTTCTGACAGCATCCCTTAAAAGTTGTCCTTTGGGTCATGAAGTGTCTGGAGATGTTGTAAAAGTAGGCAAGAAAGTAGAGGCTTATAAAGAAGGCATGGCTGTTGTTGGTAAGTTGTGCTCATTTTGTTGCATATATCTTCACTTTTAGGCACAAATTATTGCAAATTATTTCTTAATGCGAGCTGTTCTTGCTGTTCACTCATCATAGCTAGTGGCTGACATTATCATGAACAATATAAAACTGCCACCTCAAAGGATAGAAAGTTTTGGTTGTTCATCCACTTCTGGACTTAAGTCTTGTTCCAGAACTAGTATTGTGCATTCACATATATTTCACAGATCTGGCTTATATGTATGCAGCCTGTTGACTCCTTACCTCTCAGGCAGATTTACTCAACCTTCAGAGGAAACACCCCTGATTGATTGACTTTTGCAACAGGCTTGTTGGTGAGGGGGAGGCAAGGGGTCTTTTCTTTATTCCCAACAATGGGACCCCGGAACCCACTTGGGGAGGGTCTGAAGCGTTGGGTCTTTATATAATGTATGGTATATAGGGTATGAGTGGCCAGTTCCCTTCCTTACCCCCTTTTATTCCCAGAACATTCAGAATATTGCCTGGTTTCCAGTTGTTATAAAAATGGGTCAACAACAGTCGCCCTAGTCAGAAAAATATTTCTGCCTCTACCACTGTCTTGGCAGGCAACACACCAACTACTATGCTGCCAGGAGTGCTGTAGCAATTTATTGGAGTTTCTTCCAGTTTATTTATGTGTTTTTTTTTTAAATCAGTTTATTGATGGACTTTGTATCAATCAGTTTAGTGATGCAGAAGTTCAAACCATCAAAATAGCAGCAGAAAAGCTGCTAAATATACACCATATTTCACAACCAGTGGTATTTCTGACAGATGCAAGAGCGGTTCTTCAGACACTCCAATCTGGAAAACTACCTGGTATATGAACACTACTCTCCAAATTAGGCAGCCGATGTAAGGTAACTATGCAGTTGATACCATCCCACTGTGAAGTTCCTGGAAATAAAAGAGCTGATAAACTAGCTAAGAAAGGTGCAAATGAAGAACAACCTGACGTACCAGCCTTTTATCAACAAAAGAAGAGAATAATCAAATCAATCAGAAAACCACCAAAACTGGCACAAGACAATTACCATTTTATGGACAGACCAGAGCAAATTATTATTCCACACCTCAGAACAGGACACAATCGACTTCACAACCACATGTACACAAAATTTAAAATTGGCAAATCAGCTGTGTACACATGTGGACTAGCACCTGAGACAACAGATGATGTCCTCCAAGACTGTCCCAAATATATCAACCCAAAACTTTTGGCCAAGAAAAACACCGGTGCAAGCCAACTTTGTGGGTTGCTGAGTGAATTACAAAAGACAGTGAAGTTCATACTAGAGACAACATTGCAGATATAGATAATCTATTTCAAGCGAACAAAAGAAGAAGAAGAAATTTAGTGATGGACTTCGTTGTATCAGTTTATTGATAGACTTTGTATCAGTTTAATGGTGGACTTTGTATCAGTTTAGTGATGGACTTTGCATCAGTTTAGTGATATAGTTTGTATCATTTTATTTGTGTTTTGTTTTTATCGGTTTATTGATGGACTTTGTGTCAGTTTAGTGATGGAGTTTGTTACATTTTAATTGGTGCAATTTCATTTCAGGAATTGTTCCTTTTGACAGCAAAGCCACAGGATGTGCTGACTACTGTCTGCTTAATCAGTTTGATGTCAGTAAGTTAATGTTTTCGAATGATTTTATTTGATGATTTAGCATGGTTCTTAATGAAATGATGAAGACTAGGAGACAGTGGAGGTGATAATTTTAATAAAACTGTTGCAAATATTGGCTTAGAAGTAACAAACTGAGATAATAATGGATGCAGGTGTTAAAGATTGTTTAGCAATACTTTAAGGAAGAGACCATTAAAATGGATCACGTAGAAGAGGAGGAATAGAAAAGTTAGCTTAAAAATTGGAAAATACCAGCCAGTAACAGCAGAGGAAAGATGTAATTGATTCTTGATAGCGACATTTAAGGTAAAAGTCCACTAGACTGGCTGATATGGAGATATTTAAAATCCCTTGTATTTGGTTCAACAGTAACAGAGCCAGAGGTCGACCATGCAGAGAATGGACCGCAGAAATGTAATAGATACTGAAAAGTACTTTATACAAAGAACAGAATAGCCCATTCCAGAGATCTCTTCCTGCCCAGACGCCACAAGGAAATTCAGGAGGGAAAAGAAGAAAGAGATTTTTGGTGCTGATTTTTAGCTAGCTGCTGCTAATTATGCACAAAAGACTTTTCATTAAGTGGGCAAAGTTAGTAAACTTTATGCAGTGCCTGCTCATTATGATAAAGTTTTTCTTTCTTCGTTAATTCCAGTCAATAATAAATAAATGTTGTTCTGTCTCCACAAAGAAAGTTAACTATAATATACTCTGCTATCTTTAGGAATAAGAAAACCACAAAAACAATTTTTTTCTAAACCACCCTTCACAGAAATCAAACCCAGGTATGTCAAGGACTGTTAAGCATGTTCACGCACGTCAGTGTACAATGTTAATATTCATATCAAGGAGCTTCCAATCAGTATGGGGGTTAGGCATTTTGCTCTTTTTAGTTGTGGAAAATATTTGCTTCTGGCATACAGTGGCTGTTGCATTTTTCCCCATTTGTAGACTGAAAGGATATAGTTTTGTAAGCCCAGCTACTGAGTTGTGTGCATGACGCAACACTGTGAGCTGCAGATTTAATTTGGAATGTTTTTGTGTGACTTTGACCAGTATAGTGTAGTGATCTGTAGATTCTGAAAATGACGAGTGGACTTTTGCCACAGAATAAGTGGTGCTTTATGTGATTAAAATTTATCACATGTGCAGCTGCTGATCTGTTTTTTGATGAACTGCATTTCTAATGTTGGACTGTTTGTGTTAGCACTTCTAATGGGTGCCTTATGCTTTTAATGCATGTGTGCTAGTAGATATACTGAGACAGCAGTCTGTCAATCTTTCCACATGGGACTGTGATGGACATTCTGTGTGTTTTTTGTTGGCACAGGAGCGGAGCAACAATAGGGGTGACCTGTTTGCTATGAAGTTGAAACTCAGATTACCAGTGTTATTTTCTTCCATCTGACAGTTGAGAAGCCATCTTCTGTGAGCTACGAGACGGCAGCAGCTTCAGTCGGTGCTGGACTAGCTGCCTACACTGCAGTTAATTACCTGGGTCATGTAACAGCAGGAGATACAGTGCTTGTTGTTGATGGAGCTTCACCTCAAGGCTACCTCACGGTTCAGGCAGCTCAGGCTTGGGGAGCAAAGGTCTGTACATTGTAACTTATGATTCCTGTTTGAACAAGTCTGTACAGAGTAGTTTATAATTCCTTATTTAAACAAGTCTGTACAAAATAGTTTATAATTCCTATTTGAACAAGTCTGTACAGAGTAGTTATAATTCCTATTTGAACAAGTCTGTACAAAGTAGCTTATAATTCCTATTTGAACAAGTCTGTACAAAGTAGTTTATAATTCCTAATTTAACAAGTCTGTACAACGTAGCTTATGATTCCTGTTTGAACAAGTTTGTACAGAGTAGTTTATAATTCCTATTTAAACAAGTCTGTACAGAGTAGTTTATAATTCTTATTTAAACAAGTCTGTACAGAGTTGCTTATAATTCCTATTTGAACAAGTCTGTTCAAAGTAGTTTATAATTCCTATTTGAACAAGTCTGTACAAATTAGTATATAATTCCTATTTAAACAAGTCTGTACAAAGTAGTTTATAATTCCTATTTAAACAAGTCTGTGCAAAGTTGCTTATAATTCCTATTTGAACAAGTCTGTACAAAGTAGTTTATAATTCCTATTTGAACAAGTCTGTACAAAGTAGTTTATAATTCCTATTTGAACAAGTCGTACAAAGTAGCTTGTAATTCCTATTTGAACAAGTCTGTACAGAGTAGTTTATAATTTCTTTTTTGAATTGATGCGTCTTTAGTTACTATACAGTGTAGTGTATGTTTATTCTTGTATTATTTCAGCAAAAGTATATTTTCTCATTGTACAAATAAGCAGCTTATATTTTATTCTTCTTCTTTGTTCGCCCCTTTAAAGGGTGGCTGGCTTGTTAAACTGTGGTTTACAGCTGGACTGCGATATCTGCCTTTCAGCCCAACACAACTGATTTCAGCAAAGACCTAATTATTTGCCTTTTATGAGAGGGCAGTCAGTTTGTTCTTTCTTTTTTTTTTTCTCTCCAAAATTGAAGCCTCAGAACCCACACAGGAGCTGCTTGTATGAATAGATAGTACTGCGCAAAGTACCTTTAGAGTTGCCATGGTGCATTGGCTAGATGCTCACCTGCAGATGTGAAGGTCATTTGTTTAAATCCAAACAGAGCTAGACTTTGGAAAAAAAAAGGATCTTGACTCCCAGGTCAACCTATCCTTAGATAGGTACTAGGTAAAGTTCTGGGAAATAAAAGCAGTCAGCATGATGTTGGCCACATTGGTCTATAAAATATAGGTCTAGTACTAAATGTCCAAAATGCCTGAAGGTGTGGAAAAGGGTCCCTTACTTTTACAAAGTACCTTATAATTATTCTTGTATCAACAGTTATAATTTTCCTTATTGTACTTTCAGTAGTTCTTTATTGTACAAACTACCTTGTTATTATGATTGTTTGCACATTGTTATCAGTTCATATTGCACAAAGTGGAGGCTATGATAATTCAGTGACCAGCATGCTTGTTTTTCATTCTGTAGGTGTTATCAACTTACAGAACCTTGTCTGAACGACAGTTTCTTGAGAGCTTGAAACCACCTGTAGGTTAGTAAGACATACTGCTGGCATTCAGTACTTTAAGGTGATTGTTGTAAGACTCGGTAACATTAACTCTTTCGGTCCTAAGAAACGCACCATGTGCACTTTAATATTATTAAGGTGTCATATTATTCAGGTGGTAGGGAAACAACCATAGGGAGGTGGGGGAGGGGGGGGGGGTCTGTCCTGTTAAAGAGAGGAATGTGACAGCGATTGTGCAAACATCAAAAAACATAAAGACACACATACATCTTCAATAAATGGTTTTATATTATCCATCCAGGGTATCCCCTGCTGTTTACAAAATCCAGCTTCCGAGAGATTTGAAACTTGCACAGCATATGCACAAAACCTACCATTTTCCCATAACTGAAGAAGGCTAGGCTTCCACGATAATTAAACATTGTGTATTACTTCCTGTAAACACTTGGTGTCACCAGCTGGAAAGAGAAGACCAACCAGAGAGATTAGTGGGGGCCAGTGATGTCTGCAGCAGTAAACCTCAAGGGCTCGGAATGCTGAAGAAGAAGAGAAGATCTGGTAATCTTAGTTTCAGCTTCATAGCAAACGGGTCACCCCATAGTTGCTCCGCTCCTGTGCCAACGAAAAACACACAGAATGTTTATCACAGTCCCTTGGGTCAGCATATGCACTAGCATACACACCCATTAAAAGCATACGGTAGCCATCCGAAGTGCTAACATAAACAGTCCGACATTAGAAATGCAGTTCATCATGGATGGTAGCACTAGTGACTAGCAGAAGTCACTAACAGATGAGCAGTTGCACTCGTGAGAAGAGAAGAAGAAGAAGTATTATTTCCTCAGTTTCCTTATTTCCAAACATTAACCATAAAAAACATTTATACGAGGGCACCAGTAGGTTGCAAAGACTCTAAGTTCCTCAAGTTTGTGGGAAATATTATACTTGTAATCTGCTTCATCATGGTGAAAGAGAACCTAGGAGCATCTCAGTTAAAGAGAGACTAAAAACACCATGGTGAGAAAGAAATGCAGAAAATCACAGTAAGAACAAACTAATGCCTCAGTTAAACAGATGCTAAGAATACCATGGTGAAAGAGAGACTGTGAACACCATGTTAAAAGACAGGGTAAGATAAGTACAGGTCTGTGAAAGACAAGCCAAGAATACCATGGTGAAAGAGAGGCCAATAAAACCACAGTGAAAGAGGAGCTGAGAACACCAAAGTGAAAGAGAAACCAGGAACACTGTGTTTAAGGACAGGCTAAGAGCATCACAGCCAAAGAGAAGCAAAGAGCATCACAATGGTCAGATTATCATGGGGAAAAACTGTTTGTTGTGATAACGAAAATGGGTTAGGTTGGTAAAACTGTGAGAAACAGTTCCAGGAGTTATAAAAATAAGAGCTATTGGTTTTAAATGCACCACTGCATGTGATACAACACATTTCCTAGTTTTTTTTTTTTTTTTTTAATGACAGATTTAATTGTTAGTATAAATTTAAACATTAAAATGATGTTTGTTATGTTATCACAGTTTTTTGCACATTAGTCATCCCCATGCGGGCTCAGTAGTATGATGCAGTGGCCACTCCAAGGTAACTCTACTGTTTGTTCCCATGAGGAGTTGGTTATAACGTCTCCTATCTTTACCTCAAAGACGGCATAGACGTGCTTCACCAAGCATTTAACACCTCGGTCACGCAGTTGTGTTAACATCATAGATTTGCCATTATCCCCCAGCCCAGTCTGTACAGCAATGATGATATCAACTCTGTCCATGCTTTTTCCCATTCGCATCGGTGCGATTACTTACCAGCTGGTCAGCTCTTTCATTACCATTTACTCTAGTGTGACCATGTGTGTTTATCCAAATGACTGATGTTAACTGCGACTACCGAATGCTTTGTACCCATTCAGAGCATAGATTACCTGAAGCATGTTCATGCAGTCTGAAATGATTACCACATGTGTGGCCACTTGTTCTGCAACCCGTATGAGTGCTCTGGAAGCAGCGGTTATCTCCATGGTCATGCTCTCTGTGGCTGTCTGGCAAGCACCGGCTATCCTCTTTTATTGTTTTCCCCATCCTTTGTGCTATGTCCCATGCTGATCTTGACCCACACCTAATGGGCCCCTCTGTATGGATTAAAAGTGATATCTTATAAGTAAATAACTGTATTTGCTGTCAACTTTGTCATATTTTCTACAGCTCAGCTTATTGAACTGACACAGCGCACCAACATCCTGGCCAGTGCTGTGATGGAAGAAACAGGGGGCATCGGTGTTGACTGTGTTATTGATAAAGGAGGTAATGTAAAGAAATAGTGTTATTGTAGAATGTAGGTTAGTTGTGTATCCTTTTCAGGACGTTGCAGAACCAACCCCAACAGCCCCTGGCTGTTGTGTGGTTTTAGGCAAATTTACGTCCAGTAGTTTGCCATTGCTTTTTGGACGGTCAGCTTTCTTGATACCACTGTCAAAACTAACGCAAGGCGCATGGTCCGCAGCTGGGATCGAACCCGGCATTACTAAGGGTTTGCATCAACTTAGCCACAGAGCCCACGTAGAATGTAAAGGTGATAGTTATTTTTAAGGCTGCTTATTATAAAAGAAGTATGGCACTGTATACTAGCAGAAAGGAACTTGTGTATAAAAGGAAAAATGGCAGTGTATAAAAACCAGTAGAGCAGAAGAGGAGAAGATGCAGATCAAGAAAGACCTGAATGCAGAACTTTGGCTCACAGGCCAAATCTGGCCTGCAGACCCCTAGCAAGTGGCCCACAGATCCTTGCTAATTGTACTGTATTAATAAGCTTTCTATACTTGGGCTGGGGCTTCTGGCCTGTGACGATCTCACTTTTCACAATTGTGGCCCCTGGTGTAGGGTTATTTATTATCCTGATAATAACTTTTTGAGAGTTCGTTATTCATTTTTGAGATCGTTTCATTGCACATCGGATATGACCATGTGTCGCTGGGTGTTAATTGCCTGAAGAGTTTGAACATCACTCACTCACTCAGTTGTTTTTACACACACACACACAAACCACCAATGCCGGACTGCAGGTTACTTTGCAACTGTATTGTGGTTACCCAGCGTAACTGTACTATATGGCTATACTCTTGAAGAGGGTTTCTGGGATTTGTAGTGTTTGATTCTCATACCTACAGAATGCAAATCTCGAAGGGAGACACTTGAAAAATAAATGTTTTTTTAAAGTTGCTTTTTGAATTAAGGTAATACCTTATAATAATGAACATGATGCTTTGTTGTCTTGCCCATTGAGTTTACCATTCACGTTTTATGCTGTATTTAGCGCTCTGTTGATAAAGACTTTGGTCAAAATTTCCGGTTGTATTTGTGCATGTATTTTTTTTTCCACTCCCTCTGTTGAACTTTCTAGTCACATTTTATTTTATCTGGAACATTGCTTGAAAGATGAACTAACAAGCAACAACTAATGTTTTTGAATTCAGTGAGAATGTTTACCAGTGAAGAAGACAAAGATTTAATGGGAGAAAGAAACCTGCGCAACATTCCACATAAGCATGATATAATATCCTGCCTAGGCTTTGCTGGCAAATGGATTACTGCACAGACAAATTTGCAGGTAAAGTTATTAAAGTACAGTTCTGAGTTTATCTGGCTATTTTGTATTTTCTATATACAGCAGTGGCCCCTTAATTTATTGTATCATTCGGTGTTGAACCATCTGTGTGTGTGTGTATATACATACATATATGTGTGTGTTTGTATATATATATATATAATATATATATATATATATATATATATATATATATATATATATATATATGATATATATATTAATATATATATATATATATATATATATATATATATACAAACACACACACATATATGTAGTATATATATATAATATATATATATATCCATCCAATATTGAAGTGTGTGTTTAAAATCAAGAAGACTTAGAGTTGCTGTTCTCAGTTCAGTGTGTGTTTTTTTAAAGTCTTTTACTGTGTGCATCCAATACTTCTGTTACAATCACGAGTATTTGATTTTTTCTTTTTTCCAACATTTCTTTTATGGTACTGTAAACAGGATAACTTTGTCTTGTAATTTTGGGATCTGCATGCTTAGTCATTTGTATGATGCACTTAAATACTTTTTCATAAACTGCCAAATTCTTGAATAATTAGGTGATGACTGGTATGGAGATTCTGTTCGTTAACTAAATCTTCAGTCTGGCCAATGTTCCAGAGATTGGCATCTCTGCCCAGATGTGAAACATCACTTGTTATTACCTCACTGGTTTCTGAGCTTAGAGAAAGATAATAGACGTCTATAATAAAACGCCTAAACATATCACATATCCTGAAACCTAAGATAGACCTAGACAAGCTTAGCATACTCCACAGTGAATCAGAAATGCCGCTAACCCCAATACACCCATTTTGAGACTATCTGAATATTATCTCATTACAGGCAATATACCCCCTTAAAGGATAATAGTATTTTGAGAATATTGGATATTTCCCTTAGATTTATTACAGACATTAAACTTAGTATTAATATCTTTAAAATTTGAGAACAAGCAGCATTTGAAAATAAGATTTAGATGTTGTTTATTATTATCTGTGAAGTGATGTATGAATGGAGTAATTTATTTAAGGAATAAGGACAGAAAGACAGAATGTAAGATGTGCCTTCATGCCTAATTCTTAACCCTTTGAAAATATAGTTAATTCCTTATAGAGATGGCCAGGGGTTTGAAGGAATGCCTCTACACCAGCCTTACTTTAATGAATGCATGGGATCAAACAACTTGAGTGTCAGACAGTGGATTTAAGAGTTAAAACAAATACTTTCCAGAGTAGTCACACAATCAGTCTGTAAATGTAGTAACTGATATTGGATTATTTGCGTTATTAGATTTGTTATTAACGATAGTTGATTCCTTTTCTACGGGAAAGTTAAGGAGGGGGAGTGGATATTTGTTTATCTGGCATAATGTCGTGGATAAAAATCGATACCGGAAAATATTATCAGTACACAAGTCTGACGTCTGTGAATGGACATGATAATTAAAGCCATGTGGTGTGGACTGTCTGAAGATGAATCATTCTTCTGATAAACTAAAGAAAGGATTTTACAGTCGATGATATCTTTTTCTTCTTCTTATTGTTATTATTATTTTTTTTTTCATCTTTCTGAGCCCTTGAGGTTTTTTGCTTCAGATTTTACATGCCTCCATTCATCTGTCTAACTGGCTTCACTTTCCAGTTGGCGATACCAAGTTTTTGTAGGTCTGTCTATATATTATCTCACCAATGTTTTCTTGGTCTGACAGAATGAAAAAACTAGTCAGTTTTCATAAATATAAGTTAAAAAAACTTGTTAATATAATATTTTGTTTCATTAGTGAATACCTGTAGCAACATTGTATTCTCTGCTTGTTGCTTATGAAATGAACAATGTGCTCTCAACAGCTGGATCCTCCAGACAGTCAACAGTTGCTGTTGCGAGGGGCTTCACTTTGTTTCCTGTTTCCCCCTGCATGGACGTTGATGAGAGCTCAACATGGCCGCTACCAACGTATCTTTTTGATGATCACTTAAAAATAACCTTTTTAGTAGTCACTAACGTGTGTGTCATTTCTGTTATTACCCTTTTTATTTTTTTCCTACTTCATTTGGTGAAAGAGAGGCTAAAATTATCATGATGGAAGAGAGGCTGTAAATTCCAGCAGACAATTCTATTTGCTCATTGACATATGGACTTGAGTTTTGCATACACATCCATGCTACAGATCTGGCTTATTTATGTGCAGACTGTTGGTTCCTTCCTGTCTGCACTCTGACTTTCAAAAGAAACAACCCCTAATTAGTTGCCTTTTATGACATGGTCATGGGGCAGTAGGTCTGTATTAGTCTTTCCCCTCCCCGCAACCAGTAGCCCCAGAACCCACTTGGAGAGCCCTTTTTAAAATCATTGCTTCTTCATTTAGATGAAAAGTCTAAATTAATTATATTGATCCTTGAAGTGTCTTTGGCATATGTTGCAAGTCAGGAGGAGAGTCAGCACAAAACCAATACTGAACTTTATAGATAGGCAACAAATCAACAAGATTGGCATCAGACAGGGCACCACTTAGAGCAGTGTTATACAGATACACCAGTAACAGAGCCAGAGGTTGACCATGCAGAATATAGACCGCAGAAATATCAGAGACACTGAAAAGTTCTTTATACAAAGGGAACAGAAAGGCCCGTTCCGGGAATCTCATCCTGCCCTGGTGCTGTGGGGCATTCCAGGAGTAGAGGAAAGAAGAAGAAGTTGCAAGTTTGACAACACTCTGTCATCAGTATGACATGATGATAATAATGTGGGTACCTTTTCTTCGTAGGATGTTTCATGGTGCCCATTATTTGTACTACCATGTTTCCAAATAAACAAAGGTTATAGACAGTTATATTGTCTGGGTTTAAAGATATTATAACATTGGGTGGGGGAGAGGGGGGGGCAATGAACATGCTATCAAAAACGTTCCTGTCAACATTAAAATTAAAATAAGTAGTTTGGTTGGACCATATTGCTTGTCTCATTCCTTGTTGAAAACTTTGTTTACTTGTGCAGTTAAAGGCAAGGGATGAACAGTCTGTATATGTTATTCATCTTCATTAGGCACGTTATGCTGGGGTTTACAGCTTGGCTGAAAAATCTTGGCCTTTTGGCCTGTAATTTCAGCCAATCCCTAATTAGTCATCTTTTATGTCGTTTATTAGAGGACTATGGATCCATTCTCCCTCCCTCTCCCCCATGTGGGCCTGAACTCATCTGGGGAAGGTGAGGTTATAAGGTAGTAGAAAAAGAGGGAAGAGGAGTATCATCAGCATAAGAAGAAGCAAGAAGAGGAGGAAGAAGAAACATTTTATCACGTCCTTAATTTTGTTAGGTAAGCATGACATGCTTATTTTTTAATATGCTGAAATAAATAACAGAGTAAAATCATTCTGCACAATTTTCGGGCACTAAAATACAAGTTTGCAGACTGACCTGAAAATATTGAGAATTTAAAGAGTAAAATTGATGCCCTTGAAATAAAGCTGGACAATAGGTAAAGAAATGGCTACCTATGATTTCCTTGATTGTTGCATAGAAAATAAATGGCACTTTAACTCAGTACCGCATTATCAGTCATAGATTTACTTTTATCAGTGTGAAGATTTCATTCTTCTTCTTCTTACTCCAATTTTTTCTTTATTTTCTGCTCTTTATCACCCATTAGTAAATAAATCCTAAGTCAGTTCATGCCATTTCTTGCAGTTCTCTCACTGTCCCCTTTATCTTATTCTTCTCTGTGTATTTTTAGGAATTATTGTATCTCTTTTGCTCCGTGAATTACGGTGATTCCATTTATCAGGTTTTCTCAGTGTATCCTATTCAGCATAAATTCCTTCATTTTTGCACAAGCATCACCAGAAAATTAAGATTTAAAGCTCTTAAGTGATTGTTTCAATCATTCTTTATTTTTCTGATCCAGTACAGATTTCATAATACAGTTAATTAAATATTCTAGATTTTCTTTATATGAAAGCAACATCTTTTCCTTAGCACTGCCAGATATACTCAGGGATCTAATGGATCGTCTGAACAGTGGAGATTTTAAGTAAGTTTTGTTGTTGTTACAGATTACATTTGCTTATCTAACTTTTTCAGTCACAGAAGATTTCACTTCAGTTTTACTGATGACTGATTTAATCATCAACATCTTAGCACACCGGACATACCCATTGATGCTCCATCTCCTGCAGCAAATGTCTTTAGGGGCAGATGCTAACTGTTCCCGTAGCACACTGATTTTACACATCATTCTCGTACTTTCAAATTCTCATCCTTGCCGGATCCACTTATAATACCGCATTCACACATTCTTACACAAATTATTTTATTTAATCTCGAGTTTTCTATCAACATTCGTTTATATATATGGTCTTCAGAATATCTCCATTGTCCAGTACAAGTTTTTCTGTAGCTGTTGCTTTTGTACCCAGAAAATCTTATCTTTCATTCCCTCGCACTTCTGTTTATCCCAGACAGTATATCCGTGTGAATACCTGCAGTTTTGGCATACTGATGCTTGGTATCCACTCGTGTCCAAGGGAACAAAAACAAAAAACACAAAATAATTTTTCACACACTGTCAGAGAAGTCAAGTTAGCCAGCATGATGTTCAATCATCTTCCATTGAGTGCTGATTAATCTGAAGAAAAAATATGAAACTAGCACCATATGCCCAGTGTGCTACTGGCATGAACAGTCTCTCACTATTTCACTTTAATTTACTTTCAGTATTTTCCTATTTTTAGGGGTGATGTTAGACAGCAGGGCCTGGAGCCCAAGAATTTAAGGCCGCATGGCTAGTACAGTTGCCACAAACTGCACAGGGTAATATTTTAATATTTGCCGCTGTCAGAGCAAAACAGCTGAATATAATACTTCTTAGTTAGACAGACTGCATGTAGTTACATTATTTATGGCATGATGTTGAATGTTGAATTAAGAATCGACATCATAGCATTTGAGACACTCCCATTAGCACTCCATCCCATCTTTAGCAGCTAGCTAAGAGTTCCAATTCCGATGGTACTAGTAACTGTCTGATTATATATTCCTATTGCCTTTCCCCTGAGTGTTGAGCAGCGGCCAGATCCCCTGGTAACTCCCATATGGCATGATGCTACTCCAAAGTCAGACCTGGTACTTTCAATATGACTTATTGTTTTTTACATTATTTCTTGCATTGTGCTAGGGCACCAAAACAAATTTGTTTGTAGACTGAATCATCTGTACTTTCAACTGTTTGACATTAGTGAAGGCAAGTTGCTGGTCTTTGTTAAGGGGAGGGAACAAGCTGGAAAATCAAAAGTTTTTGCTAATGTTTAAAGATATCTACATATGGTCTGATCTGTATGAAATTTTGCATGGGCCTTCCATAAGTATCATATAAACAATAAATCACAGAGAAATAAAATTGTTTCTTTATTTCATACTTATTTCTATTTGATGAAGGTACAAATTTCGGTGATGGGTAAATCTGTAGCAGTAGCAGTGTCAGTCCTGCTAAAAAACAGTTTAAATATTAGAGATCAAACGATATATTTCACTGTCTCTCATCAGGAGCATTACTGCAGAATTTACATCAACAGTAACGAAGCTGGTAATTGAGATTACTGTAGTGTTGTTAATGGAGTCAAACAGCCCTGTGTATGAATTGAGATTACTGTAGTGTTGTTAATGGAGTCAAACAGCCCTTTGTATGGTAAAATTATCATTGGTAGCCCAATCTTGAACTTGAATATTTATTCTTTTTTTATTTGTTTCAGGTGTAATGATGTGCTGAAGGTTCCTCTAGACAAGGCTCCCGATTTGGTTCTTCAGAAAGACTTAGACTCAACAAAGAGCATTGTTATAGTCCCTTGACTTTCATATCTCATTACCATTCCAGTTAAACATTCTGTGATTTCCTAATTGCAGTTATTTAGGGGAAGAAAGGTGGGGGGAGGGGCATTCGACTGTTACATATTTTCTTTCCTTTATAAATGAGGAACTTTGCTTAAATTTACACATGTTTCAAGTCTGGTAAAATGTGAACACATAAATGATAGTAAAATCCCAAACATCATGTTTTATATTTTCTTGTGTGTATTACTGAGAGTATTTTAATTGTTTGTTTTACTCCTCATGTGAGTCTGTGTAATAAATGATAACAAAGTTGCGATCTTTAGTTTCATATCTGTAATTTATAGTTTTTAAAAATAACAAAGGTCGCCCTTTTCATCCTTTAGGCATCAGAAATATAATGCTAAACATATACTTTTATAGACCAGTCAGCACATAGCAAAAAGTATGGAATGCCTACAGAACCACCTAAATAAAATTAGTAACAAAGGGGAAGAATATAATATGGAAATGAACACTATGAAGACAGAGACAATGGTGATAGGAAGACAGAAAGACAATTTAGAAATAAAATTTTTTTTTTAAACAACACCCTAAGACAAACAGAGGAATTTAGGAATTTGGGTGTAATTTTCACATCAACAGAAAACTGGACAGAAAAATTAGCTTAAGATGTGCCAAAGCTAATCAAGTAATGGAGAATTTCAGAACGTTTTTTTTTTTTGGGCCTCTAGTGCCAAACGTGGACACTTACATTCTTCAATTAATGTAAAACTGTGACAACAGAAGAGCTGCAGGAGTTTCAAGGGAAGACAGAATATGAAATCACTAAATCAGACAAATGCTAGGAATAAAGCCAGTCTTAAAGGTCATCAAAAAAACAACGAATGAAATGGTTTGGACACCTAAAAAGAATGCCCCCTGGTATTATCTGCCACAGCGAGCCACACTAAAACATTACAACGGGTATAGAGCGAGTGGAAGACCTAAGAAAATATGGAGTGATGGCATTAAGAACAGCCTTACAAAAATGAACATCAGTCTTAATAGTGCTCTTCACAAAGCTCATCAACCAATGTTACATATCACCCCGACACTTTGATGAGGTACAAGATGAAAGAGAAGAAAAAGAAAAAGAAGTCAGCACTCAGTGGGTGATGTGGTTAATATAAGACTGGCCGCCTTTATTTCCTGGGTCATTACCTGTAACTGTTTTAGGCTAGGTCTACCTGGAAGCCAGGGTCTATATTTTTTGGGGGGTGGAGGGGGGGGGGGGGGTGGTGTATAGATATCTGCCTTGATGTGGATTTAATCTCTAGACCTTTGGGCCAAAAGGTGAGCATCCCTCACTTTTTTTTTTATCTCAGTATGCACCACTATTGTATTTGAGTCACTTGTTCATGCAGTTTCTAACAAGCTTGCCTGCCAGCCTATTGTCTGACATGTTTGAATTCCCTTAAAGACCAAGATTGGTTTTGGTAACGTGGGCTTCCATGTAAACCCAACCTAAAATGGACACACAGATTTACTTTGCAAAGTTAATGCTGTGGTTGGCATCTTTCCAGACGAGTGTTCTGTTGTCCTATTTGGCAGCATTGGAATCACAACCTATGTTGATTCCATGTAAGGCCATGGACAAAGTTCCTCCTCT